GGAGTTTAGAAACCAAAGCAGTCCCATTTACGCTGCTACTTTCTCCTCTTCAGAAACAAAAACAACAGTGAAGCTGTTTGAGATCATTACATGTGTTTTTCTACTGTAGGTTTATGTGACAGTTCTAAACTCATCGTTTCAACTCATTTATAACTCTGATGTTGTGAATAAAGACACAGTTTCTTGTTGGAAACATAGTTATTATTAAAGTGTATTCAGCACAAACAGATAATCAATAAGTGGTAAATATCTGAGAAAAACACGAACTATAAGTGCAGTAGGAATGCAACAGACGCGATAAGCTACAACGCAAACAAGACAGGAACAGTGCAAAAGAAACAACTGCACAGTTTATAAGTTATATCAGGCTCTGCCATGAGACCAAACTACTTTTCCTTCGGTTCCTTCGAAGCACAAAGCGGTCTGCTCCGAAGTGCCTCGTCCATGCTCCCTGCAGCCAGTGTTGCCAACTCCTCAGTAAGGAAAGTAGCTATTGGCTGTCCCAAAAGTACGTCATCGCCTAATTTGCATAATTTTCCATTTGCATAATTTGCCATTTGCAAATAACTGTAACGGACGCTGTAGGAGAGAGGAATAAGGTCGTGGGAGAGACAAAAGTGAGTAAAAACACCCTAAATATGTTTAGAACTACAAATGTACAAAAATAATTTCAACATTAACAACATTTAATGATTTTAATGCTTTGTCTAGATCCACATTACACACATCAGTTTTGTCCTGTATTGTTAAATGTTATAACAGCAAATGTAATCAAAAGATTGTTATGTAGGGTGAAATTGCTAGCTCTACAACCAACCCTCCTCCTTTATCCGGGCTTGGGACCGGCAAAGTGACCCAAAAGACACACTCTGGCAGAGTTACTTAGGTTTATTTTTGTAAGTTTTTTTTTTTTTCATAGTTTGGCATAACAAATGATTTAATGTGACCCACTAAACTGAGAGAAAACAGAGTCACGGACAGAGCTGCCGCGGATGGAGTGGGGGGTAGTGGGGGGTGGCGCTGGTAGGAGTGGCCGGGGAGCTTTGGATGTGTGGTGGTGGGGGTGGAGCTGAAGTTCAGTCTGCAGCAGCCTGAAAACTTCCTGTGCTTTTGAGTCTCCTCTCTCTCTCTCTGCTCCGCCCATAGACTGTAGCTGGGACTGCTGCGCAAGGCTACTGTGAGACTGGCCGCCTGTAAGTGCTTTGGGACGGGGGAGGGGCTCACGTTGAGGACAGCAGAACAATACGTGCTTCACGAGTCTCCAAAACGCACCAGATAAGTCGCCAAAACACCAGATAAGTCGCCAATAACACCAGAAAAAGTCGCTAGATTTGTCGCTAGTCGCTTTTTTGAAAAAAAGATCGCTATAGGGGTCTGAAAAGTCGCTAAAGCTAGCGACAAAGTCCGCTAAGATTTTTTGGCAAACACTGCCTGCCAGCGCTCCATGCTTCCGTCCCAAACACAACACAACGGACCCCCCAATTTTCACAGCCGGAAGCTCCTCTCACTCAACGGTAACCCAGTCAACAGCGGAGCTTGTCTGCGGCGTTGGCCGCGTAGATATTCGAAGGGTGGCGTGGCAAAAGGCCCCCTTACGTAAGGGCCCTGATGGTGATCCCACGCTGTTTGCGGCCAAAGTGAACGTCCACGTCCCCCACCTCCGTAAGCTCCAGCGCAGCCGCTATCTAGGGCGTGAGTGCTAACGATTTTTGAGCTATTTTATAGAACACAGGCCAGCGGGCGACTCCCATCTCGGTTTCCCCCCTTTACGGGCGACCCCCTGGGTGCCCCGCGGGCAACCGACGTTGGTTGACCCCCTGTTTGTAAAAAAATGTAGTAAATAAGCATTTTTTATCCAAACTACAATTAGAAAAAAAAATCGGGTATAGCTACCTGGCTATCCCCCTGGGAACAGTGCATTTCATAATTGTTCCTCATGGGTGTTCTGTTTTGTTAATGTTCGCTTTTGAGACTAACATCGTTCCAGATATGATGAAGTATAAACCTTTGACTTTTGACCCTGAAAAATCACAAACAGTTGACATTTGTGTGTTTCACTTTAAGATTGTTCCACCTCTTTCATCACTGTAGTTTTGTTGTAATACTGTACACCTGGTTGAATATGTTTATATACAGTCTATGGTTTGTAGCTGATTGGATTCTTTCTTTCAGACACGGCAACACAACACGAATGGGAGCCGGGTGGAGGCAAAGCGAAACAGCCAGTGTGCCCGGACGCTCAACCACATTTCTCTTGGATTAGGACTTGCAACCTATGTCTTTGTGATTGTCTGCTTAATTGTTATCACACAATTGTAAATAATGATTGCACAAATATATCAATCATGATGACTTTGCCAGCCAAATACAGATGAATTCAAAAGCCAATGCATTTCACCCTATGTGATTGAAATAATGTTATTGATAATATATACAATTGTTATATTGGGACTTCAATATTTTACCTGGTTAGATTAGGACAGATTCATTGTTTGCTACTTTTTTAAATCTATTTTATGATATCTGTATTTTGTATTCTGCTTTGCCATGGGAAAAAGCTCATAATTAATGGTCTGTGTTGAATGCTTTGCAAGTCATGGTCAAGATGGTTCAAGAAACATCCACGACCAGTCACTGAATACCGTGAAAACACAATGTCATATCACCTTTGTCCATGTTTTTTTAAAAATCAATAACACATGTATGTATTCCCTTTATATGATTTTTGAATAAAACACTTTTACTCTTTTTGAATGCACTTAATATCTCAATGGGGTTTTATTTTAGTCTATATTCTATGCATGGTATTTTTCTGCTTGTCTTTTCATATATTGTTTTTGATTACCAATTTGAATGTTCAATCAATAAGGATTAAAAAATAATGTTTTAACATGTAACACACTGCTCATAGATTGCAACAGAAGCGTTGGTCCTTGAGTGATTTACAGTGTCATAACGAGAAGCTGGTCCGACAGATTATGCTTCTTTTTAGAGATAAAGTGATTCAGATATTACACAACCTTCTCCTTATGAAGAACACGCTCACTTTTACTACCACTGTAAATAATTGATTTAAAGCACAAATGAGACGTCAGACACCTCACCTTTCCAATCAGTCCTAATGCGTTATGCAGGGGTACACAAATCTGCCCACGTTTACTTTGAAGATTTTGATTAAAGTAAGTTTGATAGATTTACCAGTACCTTTGGAGTGCCTAGTAACATTTTGTGAACAAATGTGGTCTTAATCTTATCTGTTTTTAGTTTAATATATAAAAAAATACATAAATACAGCAATTTATTCGTATCATTAGGCACTTCCTTGGAAATATGTTGTTATTACGTTTGGAATGGCCAAAATATATTAATGACATGATGTTAGTCCCATATGAACCAGCCTGGACTCTGAGGAGCACAGGGACTGGACTCCTGTTAGTGCCCAGAGTCAGAACTAAACATGGGGAGGCTGCATTTCAGATTCATGCTGCTAAAATCTGGAACAATATTCCTGAAGACGTGAGACAGGCCTCCTCTCTGACAATGTTTAAAACCAGGTTAGAAACAGTTCTGTTTAGTTGTGCATACAACTGAGGGATTTTATATTTGTATCTTTCTTTTTAATGTGTACTGTTATTATTTATATGAAATTGTATGAAATTATGCTATACAAATAAACTTGCCTTGGAATCAAAAAAATGAACGTCAATAAAAATATACCAACTGTAGGGTTAACTGGTGGTCTGCTGCCTCCTATTGACCAGGTTGGAAACAGAAACGCAGTGTAGAAAAGGCAGTATGTCTGATTCACCGCACACTGAGGTTTATACCAAATTAAAGTTACGACGCTGACGTTGCTGGTGGCTGGTTTCACATTAAAGAAGAGCCAAACACACATTTAGTTTAGTTTAATATTTACTTATTTAAGTTCATTGCACATTTTCAACACACAGCATACATGGATGCAAGTCTGAACCAGTCTCTACATGTGTGCCCTGGTGTTTGTTTTATCTTTTTTTTGTATTTGTATATAATGATTGTTGTTTGTAGTATGTCTAAATATATATATATAACAAAAAGTCTGAACCAGTCAGAAGCTCAGCAAGGCAGCACACGGTTAGTACTGTGATGGGAGACCTCTGAACACCTGTGGCTAACCTGTTGGCTTAGAAACGCGTAGTGTAGAAAAGGCAGTATGGCTATTCACAACTGCGAATGGAGTGAAAGGATAATGCCATGTGAAGAATCTGAGTGTCCAGAAAAGCACTAAAAAAAATTGGATAAATTGAATGTATGCTAATAAGTCACCTTGGGAAAGTCTCCGTGGGGTCAATCCTTAAATCAATGGAAGACATTTCTTGCATGCAAACTTTATTGACCACATAAAAATTCCTGAAAAAAATCAGAAAACTTAGTGCAATCCCACAGTAGTTTATGTATGGAGCAAAAAGAAAACATCCATATTTGTAATGGACACTTAAGGTTTCTACTGGAACTTCCGTCTATAGCTTCGTTAAAATGCACAGCTGGCTAACATTGAGGTTTTATATTTAAAATGAGACTGAGAAGAATGTCTGCTTTCTGCTCAAGAAGGCCAAACTGTTTTAAAAGGCGTATATGCTTCAACAATTCAATATTTACAATCATCTTTCCTCTTGTCGCTTCGTTGCTTGATGAAAACATACAATGTGAAAACAAAATTCTAACTTTTCACAATAGACAAATGATCTAATTACAGAAGTACAATATAGTACAAACAGCACATTCTAAAGCAGTGATACAAGAGAACAGAAATTTCCCTTATTATTGATTCGACAAGTGCTTTAATGTGGTGAGTTGTGTTGTTACATTTGCTTTATATTCTTTTAACGACCACGTTACTGGAACAGCACAAATCCACTGCAAAGTATATGATGCTCGAATGAAAACCATTTTCATTATTCTCCTTAAATAATCAACAAGCGATAGTATGTACACAAAATATATGATAAATAGTCGTGTGCTTAGTAAGAGCGGATGGCAGGAGGAACATGGGCACAATCCTGCTCATCCAGAGAGTGGTCGATCACAGGACGGTACTTAAGAGTGACCTGGGAAGACAGAATATGAATGCTTTGAATCTTGTTGCACTAAGAACTTCCAAAAGGAAATACTGATGCAGTACCTTTCCAGTTTTAGGCTCGACATAGGACAATGTGTGCTTCCTCCAGTGCTTTTCGTAGGGTACCTTCTCCTGACCCTGCAGGGGCTTGGAGTAGTCATACTCATCAATTCGATCCTGAACAAACCAAATATTAGCACATAAAAATATGTTCTAATAGCACGACAGAATATCAAATGCAGAAAGTAAACCTTGAAGTCCTCTCTGGCATGAGCTCCTCTGCTCTCCTTCCTCTGCTCAGCTGAGTGGATCGTCTGCACAGCGTTCAACATCAGGTTTTGCAGCTCCAAAGTCTCCACCAAATCAGTATTCCACACAATGCCTGAAGGAAAAATTAAAAAGTTGAACACAAGTTCTAAAGGGGATAACACACAAGTCTATACCTCTGTCAAATGTCTTCAAATCATCTAAAGTTGTATACAAGTCATCCATCTTGTCGCAGCCTTCCTTCAGCACAGGTCCAGTACGGAACACAGCCGCATGGGCTTGCATTGTCTGGAACAATTAATAAAGAAACGTTATAATGTCCAAGCCATGTCACTGTAAATATGAAAGTCATACCTTCTGCATATTAAGCCTAATTTCCGATGTCCTTAAGGAACCATTGGCATATCTCAATTTATCCAAATTTGCCACAGACTCTTCGCCTGCATTGGACTGCAGAGGGGATAATTTTTCTCCTAAAAACATTGTGACAAGTGACATGAGACATTCTCAGTCATTCTCAATCAATATGGGAGACATTTGCAAAAGACTAACCTGGTTTGTGTTCTTCAGCAATTGTAAGAGCACAGGCTCTGCCAAACACCACAAGATCCAAAAGGGAGTTGGCGCCAAGGCGATTAGCACCATGTACACTGGCACAGCCAGCCTCACCGCAAGCGTACAGGCCTGGGACAACTTTATCATTTCCATTTTCATAGGTGATCACCTGAAAGTAGAGTAAAGTGAGGAGGTGAATTCAACATTCAGGGAAGTGTGGAGTGGAATTATTGTATTTTTTTTTTTTTTTTTTATTGTGAAAAAATAGACATTACAAAACAAGTGCAGACGTACAAACAGATATAACAAGACAGACAGGACTGTGTGTGTGTGTGTGTGTGTGTGTGTGTGTGTGTGTGTATGTGTGTGTGTGTTCCTATTTTCCCAAATTTGTGCATCCACCCATCACCCTCATTGCCCCTATTTTCCCTTATATATTTTTGTCTCAGTTTGGGATGTGTCTAAAGTGGTGCATTAAAAAGGAGACTGTGGGATGTTGTCAGCTTGATACAGGGGTACTGTCCAAGGGCATCTCCCACGTCTCCTGTAACCCTAGCCTTATTTGTTTGTTTTTGTTTTGATGTATTATTGTTATTATTATTGTTTCTCCTGCTTTTCCCTATGTTTGAGTTATGGTGCATTAAAAACACAGACGAGGGTGGTGGAAGGATGAGGGTCAGCTGTGGTTTGATGAGGTGAGTTGGATATGAATGGTCTTATTATTAGTGGAGATATAGAGGGTCTTGTATGACAGGGAATGACAGTAATTGTAATGTATTACAAGTGGAAACTGGAAAGTGTGCTGCTAAACAAAGGGGAATTATGTGATGATAAGTACAGTACTTTGATAAGCAAGGGTAGTTGGCAACCAGATGATAATTATTGGTAATACCTAATATAATGATAGTAATATAACTTCAGGGAAGAGGGAGACAAAATGGGTGCAGACGCAGAATCGTAAGAGCAGTGAAAAAAGATAACTTAGAAGGATAAAGGGCAAAACAATGATGACATGGTAATAAACAAATAGTAAGAAAGAGTTTAAGAGTAGAGGAGAGGGGTAGGTGTGAGTTGGGGGTGTTGTTTGATGTGGGGGTTGTCATGTGTTTAAGTGTCGTCAGTGCTTGTGTGAGAGGGTTAGGCTCTCAGAGGACAAGTAATCAACCGGTAAGAAAGTTTAAGAGTGTGGGTTTGATGGAGAGGGGTTCTGTAGTGGTGTGAGTGGTTGAGGTGGGTGAGGTTGGTGTAGTGTCGAGAGTGAGATGGTCTAGGAGGAGATTTTTCCATTGGTTTATGGTTATTTTGTGTCTTGTTTTCCAGTTCATGAGGATCGTTTTCTTGGCAATGGCTAGGGCAGCAAGGAGAGTATTTTGGTCGTTTGGATTGATATTTATTGTAGAGGTGTGACCGAGTATGCATGGGATGGGGGTACAGGGGATGTGGCAGTCAAATATGGGGGACAGGATGTCTGTGACCTTCTCCCAAAAGTTGTGAACGTGGGTGCAGTGCCAGAAGGCGTGGATGTATGTGTCCTGAGTGTTTTGTGTGCAATTAGTACAGATAGCTGAAGTGAATCCCATTTTTGCTAGTCTGTGCCCAGTGTAGTGTGTTCTATGAATGATTTTGTATTGAATGAGTTGTAAATTGGAGTTATTAGTCATGGAGTAAATATTGTGGCAGATTTGTGTCCAGAAGGCGGGATCGGGAGGAACCGTAAGGTCCTTTTGCCATTTGTCAATTGGGATGGGGCAGGTTGTGTTAGATTTTGTGATAATTTGATAAGTTTTGGAGAGGCATTTTGTTGGTTTTAGGTTGAGAAGAGAGGTAATTGGTTGTGGGAGGCTGAGGTCTGCGAATGTATTGTTGTATGCTGCTGTAATGGATGCTTTCAGTTGTAAGTATTGTAAAAACTGGTTCCTCCCGATACCGTATTCCGAAGAGAGATGGTTAAAAGATGCAATTGTGTTGTTGTGAATGATGTGTTGCAGGTGTGTGATGCCTTTGTCTGACCATGTGCGGAAGTGGATTGGTTTTTTGTTGCTCAGGATGTCAGGGTTATTCCAGATAGGTGTGTGAGTGGAAGGGCCAAGGGTTGAGTTGGTGATTTTGTGGAATTTCCACCAAGCTGTCAGGGCTGATGATATTGTTATGTGTTTGAAGCATGGATTTGATTTAATAGATTGAGTAAGAAAGGGGAGGAGTGAAAGTTCAATATTAGGGTTATGTGTTTGTTCTATGTCTAACCAGGTGTCTGATGAGTGGGGTTTGATCCATTTTAAGATATATTGTATTTGGTTGGATATGAAGTAGTGGAGAAAGTTGGGGGCGTGGAGTCCACCTTGCAATTTTGGCTTTTGTAGAGTAGTTAATTTGATGCGGGCAGGTTTGTTTTTCCAGTAGAATTTTATTATTGCAGAGTCGAGGGAGTTGAACCAGGTGGTTGGTGGTTGAGAGGGTAGCATTGAGAAGAGGTAATTAATTTTGGGCAGTATAGACATTTTCACTGTTGCAATTCTTCCAGCTAGGGAGAGTGGGAGATTCATCCATTGTAATAGTTTATCTGTTGTTGTTTTGAGTAGTGGGGAGTGGTTGAGATGAATCAGCTCTGACAGCTTGGAGGAGAAATTAACACCGAGGTAAGTGATTGGTGATGTGCATATAGGGATAAGTGGTGGGTTGGCTGCCACATCCCAGTTGGGGTTTAGAGGGAGTATTGAAGATTTTTGCCAGTTTATTGAGTAGTCAGAAATTTTTGAGAAATTCTCTATGAGGCGGATGGTTTCAGGTAACGAGGTTTGTGGGTTCTGCAAGAAGAGTAATATGTCATCTGCATAAAGACAAATTTTATGGTGGATTTTGGGTGTTTGGATGCCAGTGATTAAATTATTTTGTCTTATTGCTGCCGCCAATGGTTCAATGAATATGGTGAATAGGTATGGAGAGAGTGGGCATCCCTGTCTAGTTCCCCTGTGTAAAGTGAATCTTTGTGAGGTTAGTCCATTAGTTGTGACAGTTGCTGTTGGTGATGTGTATAAAGTGTTCACCCAGTTGATGAATGACTCTCCAAAGCCAAATTTCTGTAAAGTGGATTTGAGGAATGACCAGTTGACTTTGTCAAATGCTTTTTCTGCATCAAGACTAGCAATTATTGTGTTCAGTTTGTTGTGTTGTGAATGATCTATAATGTTAATGAGTCTGCGGGTGTTGGTGGATGAGTGTCGACCCTTTATAAATCCTGTCTGGTCTGGGTGAATTATGGAGGGCATGATTTGGTCGAGTCTGTTTGAGAGGGTTTTTGTTATAATTTTGAGGTCAGTATTGAGAAGGGAAATGGGGCGGTAGTTGCTTGTGTGAGTTGGGTCTTTATTGGGTTTCAAGATTAGTGAAATTGCTGCTGTGTTCATGTGGTCTGGTATTTTGGAATGGAGTTTTATTTCTGTAATTAATCTTAAAAAAAGCGGGGAGAGTAGTGTCCAGAAGTGTTTGTAGAACTCGGCAGGGAAGCCGTCTGGTCCGGGTGATTTGTTATTGGGCATTTTTGATAGGGCAGTAAGAAGTTCTTTTTCGGAAAATGGAGATTCAAGTATATCTATTTGGTCCGGGTTGAGCTGGGGTAGTTTAATATCTGCTAAGAATGTGTCAATGAGGTGTTTGTTTGTTTCGCTTTTGGATGAGTACAGGTTCTCATAAAATTCTTTGAAGATTGTATTGATGTGTTCTGGTGATTGTGTTGGCTTCCCTGCTGAGTCCTTTATAGTGGCTATTGTTGACTTTTCTTTTTTTTGTTTTATTTTATTGGCTAAATATTTTCCAGATTTATTGTTATGATGAAATTGCTCGTGTCGAAGTTGTTGGATTAGAAAATTGGTTTTTTTGTTTATTATTTTGTTTAATTGTGCGGTATAGCTCCTCAATTCGTTTTCCTTGGCTTCACTTGGACTATTTGCGTTTGATGTTTCGAGGTGTTTGATTCTTTGTTCTAATTCGATTTCTTGTTGAGATTCTTGTTTCTTTTTGTAAGAGGAGTAAGAGATGATTATGCCTCGTAGTACTGTTTTTCCTGTTTCCCAGATTATTGATGGAGAGGACTCTGGAGAGTCATTCATTTCTAGAAAGGATGCCCACTCTCTCTTGATGAGGGCGTCAAACTGCTGGTCTTTGAGGAGGGATGTGTTTGAGGCGCCATCTGCTGTTGGGTTTGTTCGTATTGAAGGTTATTGTAAAGCTAACTGCTGCATGGTCACTGATTATAATGGGATGGATTTTTGTGTCTGTAATATTCGCCAGAAGTGATTTGCTGATAAGGAAGTAGTCTATTCTAGAATATGATTTATGGACAGGAGAGTAGAATGTGTATTCTCGTGTAGATGGGTGTTGGAGCCTCCAGCCATCGCCAAGACCAAGATCCTTCATGCACTGGTTTATTACATTTGAGGATTGGTGGATGCGGGTCGGATTGGTGCTCCTGTCGATTGAAGAGCTAATAGTGGTATTGAAATCTCCTCCTATGATGTAAGGTATATCAAACTGTTTAGTTAGAATTGTGAAGATTGACCGGAAGAAGTCTGGATTGTCTGTGTTGGGTCCATATATGTTGCATATTGTTAAGGGTTTATTGTTAATGGATATATTAATAATAATAAAACGTCCTTCTGGGTCAGACATTGTGGAATTATGTGTGAAGATGATGTGTTTTTTTATAAGTATAGAGACCCCTCTTTGTTTGGTGTTGTAACAGGCAGAGAATGGTTGGTGAAATTGGCTATGAATCAGTTTGGATGTATCAGATGGGGAAAGGTGAGTTTCTTGTAGCAGGCAGATATCTGCAAGTTTTGTAATCTTGGTAAGTATTTTTATTCTTTTTTCCTGAGAGCCTAAGCCTCTAACATTCCAGGAAATAAATTTTAATGAGAGCATGACAATGTATGTATATGTAGGGATGTTGGTTGAATGCAGATGTTGGTGTGTGGATGCGTGTGTGTGCATGTGTGAATGGAGCATGTGTATGTAAGGGAGGGGGAGGGAGAGGGAGACACATAAGGAAAGGATGGGACACAGAGGTAGGAGGTGGCTTTCAGCTTGAAGTTACACATGGTTGAATGTGTTTTCTTCAAGCTTGATATAGATTTGCGAAGGAGCGCAATTAATATATGTTTGTAAAGTTATTGGTATGCGTTAGTTTGGTTAGATCTGAGTGCTAGAAAGCAAGAGGGAGAGCAATAGAGAAAGAGCAAGAGGGGAGAGGGAGTGAGTGTTGTGCATTTATGGACTGTTTTCGTTTGTTAAATCCAGTGAGTGTCCTTGTTTCGGTACAGTTGACCATCTATGTACAGTTTGTCCACAACCAGTATGGCCTTATGTCCTTGTTTGATCATATCCTTGCGTATGGGGTGTAGAACCTGGCGTCGTTGTAATATTTCTTTAGGGTATTGTTCGCTTACTCCAAAGTTGGTACCTTTCAGCTGGTTTCCCTGTCGTTGTACGAGTGTTTTTTGTTTAAAATGTTCAAATTTGGCTACAATTGGCCGTGGGCGTTTGTTGTCCGTTCGTCGGGGTCCGATGCGGTGTACGCGGTGGAAAGTTATTTTGTTAACTGTGTCTATGGGGAGCTTGAGCTGTGTTGTGATAAAGTCCTTAAGTGTTTCTTCTGGGTCCTCGGATGGTTTCTCTGCAATGCCAGAAAAGACCAGATTTTCCCTCATACTGCGGGTTTGCAGGTCGAGGATGCTCTCTTTCATGGCCCGGTTGTCAGAAGTTATGGCTGTAACTTGGGACGTTAGTGATGTGACAGAGTTTTTAAGGGTCTGGTTTTCTATGGTCAGTGTTTCGATTTGTTGTTGGCTAAATTCTAAGCTTTGGCGGAGTGCGGAGAAGTCTCTGTGGATGATTTCTACAATGGATATCCGAGTGTCCAAGCCGGTGAGTTTGAGCTCGATTGAAGCTAGTAGCCCCGCGATGTCAGGGCAGCATGTGGGGTGCTGTGTGTCAGCCTGTGTGTTTGTGTCAGTGGGGGTACTTGCGAGTGAAGATGATATTCGTTGGCGTTTTTTCTCGTTGATGTTGGGACACGGCGAAGAGTTTTCGGCGTCGTTATCCATGACGTATCGGTTGTATTGTAGGTCGATGTATTGTTCTAGATCTTCCAGGGTGTTGGTTTGGCTGTCCGGTTATATTGTAGAAAGAAGATGAATTGATAGTGAAGTAGGGCGTGGAGAGTAGCTAGAGGTTTGAGCAGATAGAAAAGTTTGTTGTTGTCTAGCAGCAGCGTGCCGCCATCTTGCTTTGCGCAGGTCTCGCGAGGTTTCCGTCACAGAGGCATTGGAATTATTGTATTACAAAAATCTCATCTCAATCTCAAACCAGGGCAAGACTGTTTTTAATCTGATCATGATTGGGATTAGAATGTCACGGTGCACACGAAGAGCAAAAACATCTCAGTTCTGAACAATCAAAAAATATGTATTCCTGCAGCTACTATCTTCAACAAATTTTGTTTTTTGGCAGTTTTTGTTGCATCTGAGGAATATAAGATTCTAATGCAAGGACAAGATTCAGTCTATATTTGCACTTCCAATAACTTTTCTGAAGTATGATTTGGTCTTAAGATGAAATGCACAGAGAGGATCATGTACACCCAATCTTTTGAAGAAGTGTCTACAGAACAACAATCGGTATTGATTGAAACCACTGGAACTTGAGAGAAACTTAAATAAACTTCCAGAGTTCCGTCTCTGTCTGGTTCATTCCTGACACTTTGTCTAGTCTAAACACTACCGCGTTCACTACCCTTTTATTGACTGAACCTTGATAAAAATTGATGGTGGAAAGTATTTTGGAAATCAAATTAGTTTGAATTCTGACCTGTCCCTTGAAGTTGGTGGGTATTCCTCCCATGTTGTAATGTACTGTGGGAAGAACAGGTATTGGCTCCTTTGTCACATCAACTCCAGCAAAGATCATAGCGGTCTCTGAGATCCCAGGCAGCCGAGTGGCCAGCTGCTGTGGAGGAAGGTGGTGCAGCTGCAGGTACACATGGTCCTTCTCTGGGCCAACACCCCTAAAAACAAGACCCCATTAATAGCCATCATTCATGACTATGAAAAGGGTGGGCAAACAACTAATACAACATTAAAAAAAACATTTATATAGCCACATTATACAACTAATGTGTAAGAAGCATGTCTGTCAATTCTGCCATGCCAAACAATGCCAGGATTAAACAGATAAATTAAATTAAATAAAAATCAACAAGAACCTAATAAAACATGACATAAAGACTGAAGCTATCAGGACACATCTTCAAACAGAGGAGGATTGGAGTCACACCCATTTTAAGGGTCCACAACATCGGAACATTGTTAACCCAAGACTGACCCATTCAATTTTACTTGACTGATGCAAAAATGGCATACCTGCCCTCTCGAATTTCTATAGTCATTGAGCGGGACACAACATCTCTGGAAGCCAGGTCTTTTGCGTTGGGTGCATAGCGTTCCATAAAACGCTCTCCTTCACTGTTAATTAATATTCCACCCTCTCCGCGACAGCCCTCAGTGATCAGGCACCCAGCACCATAAATACCTGAACATCAAAATACATTTCAAAATGAATAACCGCATTGAAGAGGCTCCATAAATTATCATAGGTACATATAATTGTATACATTTGTTAATATATTCTCACCTGTGGGATGAAACTGCACAAACTCCAAATCTTGGCAAGGAAGACCAGCTCGAGTAACCATGGCATTTCCATCCCCTGTGCTTGTGTGCGCAGATGTACAGCTAAAATAGGTGCGACCATACCCCCTGCAAATTTGAATGAAATATTGATTAAAATGTGTTCATAAATATTAGAAATTTGACATAATCATATGACACAAGGAAGAATGTGAGAACTGAAGAATGATCTCAATCATTTGCAGCCATTAAGAAATATCTTCCCCATAGAGTAGGACAGGGTAATCATCAGTAATGATAGTGTAATTTTCGAAAAATTTACCATAAAAAAAGCCTCAAAAGAAACATGAAACCTTAAAAAATAAACATTCCACAAATTCTATAGAGACTGACAAAGCAGAAAAATACTAATTAGTTAGTTTTCATCAAACAAATATGATCAAAAATGCCATCTCATCTTGTGGACTTGTGTCTTCAAACTAAATGTAGCGATGCCTACCCAGTGGCAATGACCGTATTGTTGGCTCTGAAGCGGTGGATAGAGCCATCTTCCATGCACAAAGCAATGACTCCTTTACATTCGCCATTCTCCATGAGCAGGTCAAGGGCAAAGTACTCCACAAAGTAACTTGTGTCATAACGAAGTGACTGCAAAAATTTTAAGTTTATAAATTATTTTTTGTTTTAAGCGCTGCCTTGTAAACTTTGAAGCTCATTATTATTCAAAATAGTAACCCACCCGTCCATAAAGAGTATGCAATAATGAATGTCCAGTTCGGTCTGCTACACAGCAGCAGCGATGGGCCTGTCCTCCCTTTCCATACTTAAGGCTCTGGCCACCAAAGGCCCTTTGGTAAATTTTTCCATCCTCAGTTCGACTGAATGGCATTCCAAAATTTTCCAGCTAGATTAAATAAATTCAAGGTCAAAAATGATATTAAAACAAAACTATTATATATACACCATTTACACATGTATCAATTATGACAACCCTTTACCTCAACTACAGCTGCAGGGGCTTGTTCTGTCATATAATGGATAGCATCCTGATCTCCCAACCAATCAGATCCCTTCACGGTATCATAGAAATGCCACCTCCAGTCATCTTCCTCCATGTTCCCCAGTGCTGCGTTGATGCCACCCTATTCATAAATGAGGAAATCAAGACATTACAGCCTCCTGACAGTGATGTCAAAATGATTCAGTTATTCGCAAGTACTCTCAAAAGTCAGCTGCTTACCTGTGCTGCCACAGTGTGGGACCTGGTTGGAAACAGTTTGGTTACACATGCAGTGTTAAAACCAGCCTCCGAGAGACCAAAGGCAGCTCTTAGGCCTGCTCCCCCAGCTCCAACTACCACCGCATCAAATTCATGGTCCACTACTGGGTACTGGGTAGAAATCTGAAAAGACAGGGATTATTATAAGGAGTATGTGTTTACATACACACAAGGTATCACAAGGTTACTTACATCACCAGACACTTTTGCATTATTTTTCTTCCCATAGATGGAGAAGTGAAAATTTCTCGAGCGGTCCACTGCAGCAGCAGGGATCTGGATTAAAAAAAAAAAGTGTTTAAACAGACAATTAAATAATAGATTAGTGCGTCCAACGTAATTGTACAAGTATTTATAACTAACAAGCTTTTACTCTTGATGGATAAAAAACGTAGGGGAAACAATGAAATGCTAGCTGTAAAACTGGAGTTTAATGACAAAAACTCATTTGCTTTCTGTTAGCATGGTAGCATCAACACCTCTTAGACAAGGGCAAGTCAGTAAATGTGTTGAACAAAAAAGTTAGTATTTAGTAGAATGATGTCAGTATTATGATTCAATAAAAGGAACATTGTTTTTATGATTTCGTGTCGAAAACTAAATATATGCATCCTTTTAAGTCACTCACATTGAACTAACCTACGCTACATAACAAGCGCTTACGCAAGTCAGACACTGACGGTTACGAAAGCCTGCCACAGTTCATACGTCAACGATCATAGTCCCACTGGACAAAGTATAGTTAAATATAAGACCAAGTTAGTCTCCTGGCATGTGTACTTACTGCTTTAGACTTAAACAAAGTCTTTTTGGAGAGAAGTCTGGAGGCTGCGCGGACACTCGCCATGTTGACGGCAGGGAGCGCTATGTGAGAGCCACTGGGTTGATCAGGAAATCGCCCACTCTGGACTGAACCATTCGTTTCAAATGGGGGTGCTGATACATAAACAACGTCTTTAAATCGCTTTAAACTAAGAAATGTTGAGTAAAATTGCACTTTTTTAATAGAGGTTGATAACAATGCGTAGCATACGCTATTATTGTTGATCATTGTTGAGAAAATAGGTTTTAATAATAGTACTTGCTTTAAGAAATAACCTGTATTGATGAGTGCACAAACCAAACCAAAATTGTATAATCTTGGATTGGGAGTTGCTGCAGGACAAATGTATAAGTGACCTATACTTTCTTTTCAAGGTGAGCAGAGCTTATGTACCTATCCTGACACAAACTACACATCTAATCATTTTGTTGTTGCTTTGTCCCGTCGCCTACTGCAGGCTTGTTTGACTAGAGCTAATGAACGCTAGCATTAGCTCCGAGCCTAGTTTGTTTGAAATGGCAGAACACAACATGCTTAAGACACCCAAGCATGTCACGTGTTATATATCATAGACATGTTCTATATCTTAGACAATCAATGGAGTTATTAATATGATCATGCTTTAGATGACCATCCTGGAACTCCTTCGATAATATGTCGTTTATTAATGAATAGACACCATCCTCTATCTTCTAGATTTACAAAACACGTATTACATCTTTGATATAACATTCTACTACATGTTTCCTCTACTGTAGTCCCAATGAACAACTTGAATGACCCACCTCGGTGGAACATCCAACCAAACCACAGAGGAGGGGGTCCAGGGGCTGAAGATGGGAACCAGTGGAACTATGCTCTCCTTGTACCAATGTTGGGACTGGCAGCTTTTCGTGAGTGTTATTTAGGATTACTTAATTGGCATGTCATATTTGCATTTAATTGTTTTGGTTGCTATACAGGCTGGATTTGGACTCGAGAATCTCAAAGGGAAATCCAAATGCTCAAATCTCAATATGAAAATGATGTCTCCATAATCAGGGATGAAATGGAGACACGTTACAAAGACACCATCACAGAGAGGCGCAAAGCAGCAGCTTTAGTTGAGCTTGAGCTGGAGAAAGAGCGTCAGAGAGTAAAGGGCTATAAGCAAGCTTTGATTTCACAGAGTCAGCAGCTGGTGGAAGAACGAAAGAAACTTCAAGAGGTAATATCAGTCTCTAACTTTTGTGTTTTGTGTACATTTCTATTTGGATTTTAGAGATATTTCGTAAATAGTTTGGACACGCAAACTGAATTATCATGTCATCCATTGATTATTACTTCTACTCTTAATACTATGGTTCTCAAGGTGATTTGGGTTATATTGGGTATGTGTACGTGCAGATGTAGCCACTATATACAATTGTGATAACAAACTGCAAATCATTTTGGGATACACAGAAAGCACATCAACTGGAGAATTCCATTAGTGACCCATCAATTTATTCAAGAAATGTTATGCAAAGAATTTTTTTTTTGTATTTCAATGAACGTCCTTTTTTAAATTACTTATCTGTTATCTGTTTTTAGATAACAATAATACATCTGCCATTTTCATTGTCCGTACATAATGGCAAAAACTTGCTACTGTAGCCACAGCTGCCCTGGAGCACACTTACAGAAGCAAGCCCATCAGCCCTTCCAACCACCACCAATCTTTTTATGCACACACCAGATTCATACTACGCGATGTGTGTGAAGTGTCTTGTCTATGGACCCAACAGCAGTTTGGCACTTGACAGCGGCAGTACAAATCATTACAGTACAAATCATTCCCTGCACTGATTAGCTTCAGAGATCTTATGAGACCAGGCTTTCACATGCATGTGGCACTGCTTTATAATTATAGTTTCCTTGCTGAACTTTATAGTACAAAAAAAGTCATTTGATTGTTCATATGAATGGATGACAGCAGCGTAGTTGACAGAGAATGTTGTTCTCTGGTGCAAATGTTGTCTGTTTGAATCTCACTTTCACTGGTCAGATCCAATGCCTTGTGCGATTCCAGCTCCTCCTTGGACATGGCACATAATATAACCCCTTTACACACCAGGTTACAGGTGTGAAAGCACCAGGAATTATTTGGGTCCAGTGCTTGAGTCTAAAAAAGGTTATAATTCAGAAAGTAACTGATAGTTAGCAAGGGCAAAGAAGCAAACATAATTCTTACATTTGGTTGTGCTCAATTTGCAAGGAACGAGACGCCTTGGACGAAGAGAAGGAACAACTGGTCAAGAGTGGGGCAGCTGGTTCACTCTTGCACCAAGCTCTGGAGAAAGAGAATGAATGGCACCTGCGAGCAACGTCCACTTTGACTGAGCTAGAGCACCTCCTAGTGGAGCGACAGAGTGCCTACTGCTCCATTATCCTGCCTAGAGAGCAACGCCTGGAAATGGAGAAAAAAATTCTACTGAGGGCCGTCAAAGATCCATTTGTGTCACAACTTAATTTGGAGTTGGACTTGAAAGACATTTTTAAGAGGGATAAGCACTGTGCAGATTTGCTTAACGTGGACAAGAGGAAGAATGGGAGTTTAATGTGGGTTTATCTGAAATACTGGCAACTGCAAGTCACCGTTCAGAAACACAGGAGAGCAGAAGATGCACTTTTAGGAAAAACAAAGTGAGTAATGACTGCATTGAAATCTGAATGTTTTGCATACTTAAAATAAAATGTGTTCATTTCTTCAGATTAAATTGTCTATAACTATTACATTGTTTGTTTATGTTTAAATTCTTTTTTTAGTAGAGGATATTGCATCTCACAAGTAATTTTTTTGTCTGCAAGAGAAGCAAATGGTGAATAAAATCATTTTGATTCTGACCTGTGATTCTCGAACGTCAAATTTGCATTTTAGATCTGCATAATATGATACTTCCATTACTAGTTGTGTAGGCATCAAGCCGACATCTCTGAAGTTTTCATCAGAGTGAAGTCTGATTATTTTATATTTTTATATATATATCTTTGACGATTCTTAATTTGTTTTTTTTGGTGGGAGATTTTTTTTTATCTGCAGTGGCCTCTGCTGCTCAGCTTGTTTCTGGCTCAGATTTCTTTCAACAATGAAGTGGACCACCTGTTGCAGCTCATAACTCTACCAGTATAATTTCTCTCTGACAGAGTCATTAGGGTCATTAATAAAACCTTTTAAGTTATGTACATAATGAATTCATTTGCCTGTATTGAGATCTTGTTTCGATCACCTGACTTGTCCAACAAGCCTGGTAGCACGCATTTGTCCAGTGGTTTTTCTTCTGAACATCAAAGAAGGAATTGACCAGATAGTACCACCTCATCTCACGCAATGTATTGAACCAAAAAAAATTGTGTCCAGATATCAGTGAAAGAAATTGATTACTGATTGCTGTTAAATGTACAAAATTAAATAACAGGAATAAGTGATTGCTAAAAATTATGCATTGTAAGAGTATCTGCTACTGAGTAGTCAGTTGCCTCTTGCTAGCGTCCAGATCTTCATTTACATCAACAACCTGTCTTGTGTTGATATGGTCCTCGGTCAACCGGAAACTATTTTGAACAAGAAGCTATGGACTAGTGGAAATTTGATAAGAAGAATCAAGAATGCCAACAACTTATTTAATCAATATAGATTTATTGAGAAATAAAGAAACTGTATTAACTGTCATGGTTGCACATTGCATGTAAAGTAAGAAAATCTACAGAGAGTTTAATTTACCACATTTGAATAAGATCTCATCAACAAGGTTGTTCATACATTAATGCGTCATACGTTGAACCACGCTGGCCGTTTTCTTGGCCTCTCTACAATCCTTTTATCTGTGTCTTGTGCGCTTGGTGTTTCTCCCTTATAAAGTACAACAGTTTCCACTGCTGGAGCCCCAAAAGGTCCACCTTCCATTTCTTTGATTTGATTACGAATCTCTGCAGTTTCTTTACAGACTTTAGTGTAACATAAGCCGCACAGTATATGTTTCTGTTTCAGATGGCCACATTCTGGACATGGCTCAATATTGGTCTGCAGAACATCAAGAAAGAAGAGCAAGTTAAAATAATAAATCACAATACTGAGCAATAATATAAGTAACAATTGGAAAATTACCTTGAGTTTCAAGAGTTTGCTGTCAGCTCTCCTCCTTGTGCGATTGACCTCAATGGTTCGTCTCTTTTTGGGTGCAGCCATCCACAGGATACCATCAAGGAATCCAGGGGGTTTGTCAGGACACTCTGCCTGCTCCTCAAACTCTTGCTCATTGTTGAGGTGAGGCAAAACGCTTGAGCCGTATACAGACAAGGCTGGAGCTACACACAATTACAATAAATGTAATTAATTATAACACTACAGACATTCTTCAATCAATAACAGTTGGAATACCAGTTTATGTGCACACTCTTGCAACATAAAGCAAGCAAAGATGAAGTGAAGCCAACAGAGGACAGATTGTTTTATCATTACAAACAACATGCAAAAAGCATGCAGTGGTAATGATTATTTAATGAATATACTACTTTACGAATAATTATTATTATTTTTTATTTTTTATTTTTTTATTTATTTATTTGAGCAATCTTAGTATGAACATGTTACATACATATATACAGAATAATGATGTAACAAATAAGCACATACATCAGTGCTGAGTGCTTGAAAGTGCTCAAAAAGGAGTAGGAAGAAGTGGGGACTTATAAACTCCTACCCCTTTCTCCTGACAGTGTTTTGTGTGACAGTTGTTGATTTTTCTATATGTTGTGTGTAACATTACAATATATGACGAGTTCTATACATTTGAGTGTTTAAAGATACAACAAAGGTTAGATTACTAATTATTAGACACAAGATGATTTTTTTATAGTTGTTATGGGCCTTGTGGTTTGTACTTTTCCTTGCCTCCACCCCCTTCAGCTCTGTGCCTCCTCCGCACCACCCATTGGCTGATGATCGGCACCTGCTGGATGCCAATCCGCCCAGGCCTAAAAGGCCCCTGGCCCAGATGAGGGCTGACGTCTGCGTCCTACACTGCACCTTTGTTTCTGCACATTTCTGCTAGTAGTTTATTTGTTTATTATGAGATCCTGAGTTTTGTGTAATAAACCTATTATTTTTTACTCCTAATCTACGACCTCTCACCTTCATCCTTCGTCATCCCACACCCGGTTATTCACTATATACGTTACGTGCTACCCGGGACATTCTGGCACGTAATAATAGTCCTAATACCGATGTATATGTTCGCATGGCGCCATGGCTTTATTTTGTTCCTTGACTTCTACAAGGCGTTCGATACAGTGGAGCATCAGTTTATTTTACAAGCGATGGGAAAATTTGGTTTTGGTAATTATTTTGTATCTGCCATAAAAACCCTGTACACAAATGGTAACAGTTCCATCAAACTCTCTGGTGGCACATCCCCGAGATTCAATCTAGCTCGTGGTATAAGACAAGGATGCCCAACGAGCCCTTACCTCTTCTTAATTGTGGCACAGCTTTTGGCATATCATATCAGAGCCAAGGCTGTAGAGGGAATCTCTCTCTTAGGTAAAGAAATACTCATAACACAATTAGCAGATGATACTACATTATTCTTGAAAAACAAGAGTCAAATCTCTGTAGCCATCAATGTAATTCAGGAGTTTTCAGAGGCGTCTGGTTTGTGTCTGAATTTAAAAAAATGTGAACTTATGGCAATAAAAGAATGCAAAAAATCAGAAATCTATAACATCCCAATTAAAAGCGAAATACAGTATTTGGGTATTTTAATCAGTAAGGACCAAAGCAAAAGAAGCACTTCTAATTTTAACCCAATCATACAAAAAACACAGAGAAAATTAAATCAGTGGCTCTTGAGGGATCTGTCATTAAGAGGGAGAGTCCTCCTCACTAAGGCAGAGGGAATCTCGCGACTAACTTATGCAGCCTTAGCTCTGCATCTTGGTGACAAGACCCTCAGGGAAATTGATAGAATTCTATTTGACTTTGTATGGAAAGGTAAAACCCACTATATGAGAAAAGCGGTTGTTATGAATCCTTATGAAAGCGGGGGGCTTAACTTCTTAGATTTTCAAACTCTAAATAACACATTTAAAATTAATTGGATAAAACAAATCTTTAAAAACCCCACTTCAGTTTGGAATATTATTCCCTACCATTTATTATCCAAACTAGGTGGCATTAACTTTTTTCTTACATGTAATTTCGATATTGATAAAATTCCTGTGAAGATGTCGGCTTTCCATCGTCAGGCTTTTCTTTCATGGTCTCTCATCTACAAACACAATTTTTCTCCTCACAAATACTTAATATGGAACAACAAAGACATTTTATATAAACGTAAATCTCTCTTTTTGGAATACTGGTTTCAAAACAACATCAACTGGGTTGATCAACTTTTTAACGAGGAAGGGTTATTGCTTACATATAATGAATTTCTTAGAAAATACACTATCCCTGTATCTCCAGGTGATTATGCAAAGGTTTTTGGAGCCATCCCTACCGGTGTATGCATGTTATTCAAAAGTCAGTGCAGGCTTGACGCTCAAAAACTATCTCTTCTATTACCTAAGGATACACTTGCAGGGAGGGTTTGTCTAGTCAATAACCCTACCAATAATAATCGTGCTATAAGAACCATGTTCCAAAGAGAAATAACAACAATACCCAATGTCATTTTTCACTGGAGTATGTTTGTGGATGATATACCATGGAAGAAGGTCTGGCTTTTGTCTAATAGATATTTAGTAACAAACAAAGTAAAAGAAGTATCCTTCAAACTTATTCATAAGTTTTATCCTTCAAAATGTTACATTAAAAACAGATTTAAGAAAGAAATTGATATTGACTGTAGTTTTTGTAAAGAATATCCTGAAACCATTGTGCATCTTTTCTGGTACTGTCCAAGTGTTGCATTATTTTGGCAGAAATTCTGTGACTTTATTCATGAAAATATTGAAACGCATTTTGTTCTACATTGGAAGAATGTATTGTTTGGTTTGTTTGAATCTAACTCACAAAACAGTAACGCTATTTACTTAATTAATCTTTTATTATTGATGTCAAAGTATCATATTCATTCATGTAAATTTTCCGGGAAAAGGCCGTGTTTCTCTGCCTTTTATAACGGCTTCAAACAATACATTCTCTCAATTAAATTTTCTGAAAAACAGAAGGCAATTAAGACTGTTGAGTGCTGTACAGCGTTGAATGTCTTCATTTAAATATTGACCCCCCCTAGCGTTAGATTATGCTTATGTTTTTCTTTTTTTTCTTTGTTATTTATTTTTCCTTTTTCTTCTTTGCTCTCCTATCCTCTCTATTTTTCTCCCTATCTTGTTTTTGTTTTTTGTTTTGTTTTTCTCTTTTACAATTTTAATTTTGCACTGATCCAGTCCATTATTTTAATGTCTACTGGTAATTTTTCATGTGCAAATACGGATAATTGTTGATTACTGTACTTGTTTCAATGATTGTTATCACTGTCAACATTGATTTAATAATAAATAAAAAAATAAATAAAAAAATGTTCGCATGGCGCCGTGGCAAGAGCTCTGGTGTGTGTCGTCTTTGTCTGGTGCACACCGGGGTAGTCTTGCACAGTTTTTCCAATGTGGTTTTACTGCAAATGGCAAATAAATGAATCTGAATCTGTATAGAACTTTAAACCCCCTCAATAACATTGTCAATTTAGTTAGGTTATTCATCTGGAATTATTCTCAATTGACCTTGAGGGATGATAACAATATTCATTATGAGCAATTGGACATTATGACTAATGTTTGTGAACTGAAGAATCATATACTCTAGTATACAAAATCCAAACGATATCTTTTATATAATATCAAATAATACCTTCAATATTAGCCTCCAACCTGCCATCATACATAACGTTACTGCTTCACCTTACATGAAATGTGTCTTTTGTTAATGGAACATTGCATAGATAACTTATAAAATATAGAATGACATGCATAAAGACAATCTCCCTTCCCTAAATAACCAATGACCATGGTACAGACTGTGTGACCCAGTCAACGGATCAGAACATGAGTTGACGTACCCAAGCTTCTCTGGAGTCCTGCTACTTCCAGCAAACGACTTTCAATATGGAGTAAAGACAACCTCAGGCTCTGCACTAAAGTGGCTAGGTTTATCATGTTTAAAGACATGTGACATTCAAACATGCACTAAAAAGACTGATGCGCCACTCGAAACCTTCGAGACGTCAATACCATGCGACGAAACCACTCTTCTTCTCTTTTCCATGAAAATAAACTGTGGTTAGCAGCGCCCCCTGTTGGTCGTAGCTCTAAATAGTTTAACTTGTGATAACTTCCCAACCATGGATCACAAAACTTAACTTAGCCTAAAAATAAAGGTTTACATTTGTACTACCATACTATTGTTATTTTCAAATAATTATCCAAATATTGCATTATTATTTTTAGAAGAGCCAGTGGGTGGCGGTATTGCTACGTGGCTGGCACGCACTCGATCAGAAGTAGAAGAGTCGTCATGGCGGACCGAGGATACAGTTTTTCCCTCACTACATTCAGGTAAACTTGTATCGAATAACTTTCATGTTCACTCTCTGCGTTCTATACTTGATCATGGTAGACGTTGTTAGTCACTGTTTGTCTTTTACATGTGTTAAATCTTGCATGCGTCTGAATTGGTATTGTTTTCGTAGCAGGTAGCGTTGATGCACAGTCATTCCCCGGTGAATGAGCTAACATTAGCATCGCTGCAAACTCATACAAAGCGAAACCAACATGATGCTTTATAAAACTCTGTTTATACCATATCTTTTACATAGCATGACTTTAGTTGTGATATCGTAATCTGATTCGTCGATATTAGTGTTTTCTATTTGGTTTATATTTGGATAGATGGTGGTGCCTTTTCGAGAGATGGTGTCTATCTGACAACTGATTTTCCGAATTTTAGCTAATCGCTATGACTGTCCTCATTAGTTTGCATGTTTTTTTATGAACAAAGAATGTTCATGCACAATTATACAGAACTTGTTACCTTGAAAAACAGTCCCCCTATTATATACATATTTAGCCAAATTGTTTGCTTTTGTTAATGTTTTGTGTCTGTCTCTACAGTCCATCTGGTAAACTTGTCCAGATAGAATATGCCCTTGCAGCGGTAGCAGCAGGTGCACCGTCGGTTGGCATTAAAGGTAACTTTTACATTTTTATTTAATTTTAATCTACACGAATAATGAAGGGGCCTCCGGAACCATAGTGTAGCCATTTGACTAATATATCTTGATGTTGAAAAAAGCTCTTAAGAGGTTCCATGAAGACTGAAATACTCAACATCACAATTCTAGCAGCTATACTGTGAAATAAATATGCTGAAGAGATCTTACAAACTCATTCATCAATGCACTTTATCAAATTCTATGCTTACGTACGTGTTGTATGGTAGGGAAAGTCATATTTTGATGTTTCATTTTGGGTATTGGCAATCTTATTTTATGTAACGCTAGTAAACACAGGGAAACTGCGAGAAAGGTGGCTGAAATATCTAACCATATTGTGACTTCTGTGTTATCCTGATGTATGGTTATTTCTTAAATCTTGTATTAAAAGTTAATATATATAATAATTAAACAAATTTTATATATATATATATATATATATATATATATATATATATATATAAACAACATTATTATATTATATATAATATTTTATTATTATTACATAAGGGTCATTTTTAATGTTTCTGTCAATATGCGTATAGACATGAAGAAATGCCATGACAACACTTATTTTAAGTTTTTGTTTGTTTGTTTGACTTTTTAGCAACCAATGGAGTTGTCCTGGCAACAGAAAAGAAACAGAAGTCTATTCTTTATGATGAGCAGAGTGTGCACAAAGTGGAGCCCATCACGAAGCACATTGGGATGGTGTACAGTGGAATGGGGCCAGATTACAGGTACGGCAGTAGATTGAAAACTTCACATTAAATATTTTAAAGGCATACTCAAGCGAAATCTTTGTTTTGCAGAGTTCTTGTTCGACGAGCTCGCAAGTTGGCACAGCAGTACTCTCTGGTTTACCAAGAACCAATTCCGACAGGACAGCTGGTTCAGAGAGTTGCTTCTGTGATGCAGGAGTACACACAGTCAGGGTAATGAAGGCAGAATTTAGAAATCTTACTATGAGAATTGATGGGGAAGCCGCTGCTTCTCCACCTTAATAGAGCCAGCTGAGGTGGCTTGGCATCTTGGACGCCTCCTAGGGGAGGTATTCCAGACATGTCTTAATGGAAGGTGACCCAGAGGAAGACTCAGGACACGCTGAAGCAGGGTTTTCCACCTGTTATAGACGGTGCTATCTGGATTATTTAGCATCATATTGTGGACCCTAACAGTACTTTATTTCATTAGAATGCTTCTAAAATGATTTTATACCTGATTCTTTAAGTTTTTCATCTTTTGTAGTGGTGTCCGGCCCTTTGGTGTGTCATTACTCATCGCTGGATGGGACGAGGACCATCCATACTTGTTCCAGTCCGATCCCTCGGTATTGACTTTATTGTCTTAGAAATATTTGAACAAATATAAATATAATTTGTACAAGTAGGTCAATTAAACTTTAATTTGTCGAATGTGCAGGGTGCATATTTTGCCTGGAAAGCCACTGCAATGGGAAAGAATTATGTAAATGGCAAAACATTCCTTGAAAAGAGGTATTCTTCTCAGAGATATTAAAATCTGTGATTTACGATTCACAAGCTCATAATCACACTTTGTTTCCCCTCATTTAGGTACAATAATGATCTGGAATTGGAAGATGCTATACATACAGCAATCTTGACACTCAAGGTGAAATAAAAAATATGCACTTTTTATTTACATTTCTAAAACAATTTTAAATTTATTTTTAGGAGAGCTTTGAGGGTCAAATGACTGAGGAAAACATTGAAGTGGGAATCTGCAATGAGGCTGGATTCAAGAGACTCACCCCTGCGGAAGTTAAGGACTATCTGGCAGCCATTGCATAATTATCATTCAGTGACAGGACCACATTTAACCACCACTTAAACCAACATTGATATGACTCATTGTAGTAAAAGGAAAAGTACACTGCTTGGATTGAACAACTACTGAATCACACAAAAACTTGGTTTGTATTTCATTTGTCATTCTTGGAAAATAAAAAATGATTTTTTTCCGAGTCACTGGTCTTCATTAAATTTAAAAAGGATGTATAAATATAAATTTTCCACCCAGTTGACTTCTGCTCAAAGTGGAAGTTAGTTTTGAAACACTCCTGATAAAAACCTAAACTACATTGTTCTTTTTGCATTGAATGAATGAATGAATGCATTAAAATGTGAAGAGTGAAGGTGTTTATACAATACTGCATGTCGATGAGCTTACACAGGAGGCGCTCTTTGGTGGTTGTACGGGGTCTACTTTGTTGGGCGGAAGCTGCGGGTCATGTCTTGCCTGTGCTGGTGACGTTTGTGGCGCCAGAAATCAAGGGTGTAGAAGCTGCTGCTCGGATCTGTCAGCTGAACACTGCTGCGGCGCACTGCATTTCCACTCATCGCATTATTTAATTAATTTATGGAAATGGCCGTATAACGTCGACTTGGATTTAAGATGGTGTTTCTACGCAGTAGCGGCAATGCCGGAGCAGAGCCTGGTACGACCCCGAAAAGAGGGGTTTCAGAGATGGACACAAGCTCCGAGTTTCTGTCGCTTCTTCCCGCGTCCCAGAGAAAGACCGCCAGGGTCACTCGGTCCTCCCGAGGCCTGGATGACAGCTTCAGCAGCCCGGAGAACAGCTCAGCTTCCCGCGTAAGCCCCCACACTGCTAACTAGCCCGATGTGCTCCTACTGTAGCAATAATGTTCCTGAATAACTACAAACTTGTTTATAAGTTGACATTTACCTGCAGGCTAGCTAACAACGGGGTTACCGATGATCAAAACATTCACCCATGCCCATGCTGTAAACTCTTCTGTCCTAGTGGATAAAATGTGCTCTTTACGTTCGAATAGATGGTTTGTCAATGATTCACGTAGAATTCACGATTAAATTTGAAACGTGTAAATCTTTATTATAGGTCAAGCATTTGGTGAATGCATGAACATCGCTTTATAGTTTAATTTTATAATTGATGGCCGGTGTATTGTTTCAGGAAACATACACGTTTTCCTTTTGTTTTTTTCTCTAGGGACATGGCAAAAATGAAGAGAAAAACCGACGCTCTTCTTCTTTGAGGACCAGGGCACAGAGAGTTAAATTAGAAGCATCATTTTCAAACATGGATGCAAAGGCAAACTCCTCAGCAAATGATGACAAAGCTGCCATGGATTGCACAAGGTACAGAAAACCATGGTCATTAGTGTGAGCGTTTTATTAATCAATAACTTATAATGTAACTGTTGGCTTGAATAACTTTGTTTACAGGAAATCTCCTAGACTACAGAAAGATGGAAAACAATCAATGGGTGAGTTTCTGTCTCCGTGGTGTTTTTTCATTGACATTATTTGTAGTTTTGTATATCTTAATTTGGAATGTATTATTTATTTGTTTTTGAAAAAACTAAACCATATTATTTTAGATCTAGATGATGAAGTGGAAGAGTCGTCAACTCCGAAAAGAAGCCAGTTTAACTTGAGACTCAGAGAAACAGAAGATGAGGATGAAGATCACACTGTGAGACGAAGCTCTCGAATCACCAGGTACAGACTGGATTCACGCAAACAGTCTGTACTTTATGATCGCCTCATTACCAAGTAAGTGTGCCAAGAGTTCTGTAATGATTGCATGATGGAAAAATACTTGAATAACCACTTCATTTCCTGTAATTGTCAATAAGCACTGCAGAAGCTGTTCTACAAAAGATGGACGACATGCAGAAGATGCGGCGCAGGCTGAGGAGTAAAGACACTCAAGAACAGGTAGAACTGCATATAAATTGTCTTTGACGTTAACATTTTGAATATCATAATGCTTCGCACCTTTAGGAGATAGCTATGACTAGCAAACTGCATATGATGGATCCTCACCATTGTTTTAATGGTGAATAAGGCTACTGCCAAAGAATGGGGAATAAAACAACTTGAGCTTTTCTTATTGCTCCAACAATGAAATGTAATTGAACTACAATTTTGACAGAATAGTATGGATGCAAAGGCAGATGAGGAACCCATCTCTCGTAACAAATTGCTCTAATTGTCCCTTAGTCTTCATGTTTTTTGAAGGAATTTAGTCAGATCTTTGGACCCTCTCAGTTGTGACTTTGTTTTGATTTGCGCAGAGCTGTATGCTCTCTGCTGACTAGTGCCTGCAAACTAAAGGCATGTTCACCTGATGTGATCTTTGTGACGTTCGCTCTGGGCTTGCTAAACGCATGTGAGAATTGGAAGACGGCAGATAATGTAATTGACTGTGATTAAACCAAGAACTTTTATATTGTTGAGTTCACACATGAACTTGTACATCACTCATTTTCTTTTGTTTATGCTATCAGGACCTGGGTATTTACACGAGAGGTAGACTGCGCTCTCTAAGTTCCAATGTAGAGAGGCAAGATCCACAACGAGAAGAAAATCAAGGTAAAGTAGATCATTTATTTAATCTCGTCATCAAGAATCAAATGCTTTGAATGAGTTGAGGCTTTTTGAAGACTATATGGAAGTGGCATATATATTTGTCCTTTTTATTATTTTAACTATTTTTGTATTGTTACTTTTTTGTAGTTTATTATTGTATAATGGTTCAATATAAAAAGCTGCTGTAATGTTACTAATAGAAAAGGCTATGACTTCTGGTTCAAAATGCAGATTTGTTAATTTCATTTCATTTAATTGTTGGATTTACATTGACGCGTATTAAATGCAACATTTCTTGCCAAACGTAAATGGCCTGGAGTCAGAATTGTTTGAATAATCTATTTCAATGGTTGGACAAGGTATGTATTGGGTCAAGTTTCAGACTGTATTTCCAAATTAATGTAATTAATTAATACCTCCAAAGAAAATAATCTTTCTTATTGAAAAACGCTATGAATCCCAATGTTGAAATACTTAGGAGCAGAAGAAGAGGAGGAGAATGATCAAGATGAAGATGGAGAGGAAGTCGATGAAGAAGATGAGGAAGATGATGATGATGATGATGATGAAGAGGAGGAGGAAGATGAAGACGGTGAAGAGGGAGAAAATCAAAAGCGCTACGACTTCAGACAACGAAAGACGGTGGTTCGCTACCAAGCTCCACAAGAAGGTTTGAAACATAAGAGAAACTAGATGAATAATACGTTTCGTGGCACTCACTTGTTTCTCTGCAGAGCCCAGAGAACCGAGGAAGCGCAGCATTTACGACCACAGATCTCCAACAAGACGCAGGTTTAGATTCAGCTCCACTGCCCCAAGAAGTCCCTACAGCAGGAGGAGAAGCAGCAGGTTGGTCCATAAGCGAATGAGTTAAAAAAATAAGTTTGAATTTATGATGAATAACCATGTGCATTTATTTAACATAAACATACTTTTTCTGTCTCATTTTCTTCTTTTTTTTAATCCCACTCAGGAGTAGTTCTGAGAGGTAAGAGGTTGTATGTTTATGTACAATGTGTATTAGAATTTAAACTATCAAATATGATGGCTCACTGGTTGGGAATATCTTGCAGTAGCTGGCCATTCAGTGTGATTTTATTTTTCATTATTTTCTTTACTTACTGCTCGAGTATAACCAAAAGTGTTTATATACAGTAATTCTATGTGTGTAGAATATAATGAATCAAAAAGAAAAAAACACATTTATGTCTTCTTTTTGGTAGAAGGCGTCATGCCATCCACAGCAGTGACTCCACTTCCTCCTCCTCTTCTTCAGATGAAGAAAAGTTTCAGAGACGAAGAAGTAAAAACACATCAAAGTCTGTCAATAGGTTAGTGTCAGGTGCCTGAGGAAACTGTCTTAGGCAGAAAGAAACTGCCTGTTGGATTTCATTTTTAAAAAAAATTCTAAACTTTAAGCTTAACTTAACTTTCCTCTTATTATAGATGTCTGCCAATGAATTTAGTCAAAGAAGACCTGCTTGGAATTCACAAAGACAGAATGAAGATTGGAGCCAGCCTTGCTGATGTAGACCCAATGCAGATTGACAGAACAGTGAGATGCACAAGATACACTTGTTTATTCATAGTTTACTTGAGCTAAAAGTGGCTTATCTTCAGGTGCGCTTTGATGGCATTGGAGGATTAGAAAAACACATTTCAGCCTTGAAGGAGATGGTGGTCTTCCCACTTCTTTACCCAGAAGTCTTTGAGAAATTTAAGATACAGCCACCAAGGTAAACTTAATTTTTAAAAGTTTGTCCCAAGAAATTTTTATTGCAAGAATTGACAAAAGTTACTGTGAAACTAGCATCAGGGTAATAATAATACACTAATCTGTTACAGAGGATGCCTGTTTTATGGACCACCGGGTACCGGCAAAACCCTTGTTGCAAGAGCACTGGCAAATGAGTGCAGTCAGGGGGAAAGAAAAGTGTCCTTTTTCATGAGGAAAGGGGCTGACTGCCTCAGCAAGTGGGTGGGAGAATCCGAGAGACAGCTGCGGCTGCTGTTTGATCAGGTAACTGGATTGTTGTCATTAAACTGCCTTTGCTGTCATAGCCCTCTTTTTACTGACACCTCTGTTAACACAGGCTTACCAGATGCGACCTTCTATTATCTTCTTTGATGAAATTGATGGTTTGGCTCCTGTTAGGTCAAGTCGTCAAGATCAAATTCACAGGTTTTTAATTTGGCACCCTTTGCCTGTTAAATATGTTTTGATGTGCAATGACATTGTTTTGTTCTTTTAGTTCAATTGTCTCCACTCTACTCGCCCTGATGGATGGATTAGACAGCAGAGGAGAAGTGGTTGTGATCGGGGCCACAAACAGACTTGACTCCATTGATCCAGCTCTTCGACGACCTGGACGCTTTGACAGAGAGTTTCTCTTTGGATTACCAGACCGAGAGGTGACAAGTTTTCACATGAACTGTTAGGATACTATCCTAATTGTGTAAATGTTATTAAATAATCTATTTATTTAACATGATGCCAGGCAAGAAAAGACATCCTCAAAATACACACAAGGCAATGGCGTCCTCCTCCTTTAGACATTTTCCTTGAAGAATTGGCAGACAAATGCGTTGGTCAGTTGGCGTTATTCCTTCTACATGTTTCACATTGATAAACTATGACAGTTCCAATTAATTGACTTTTATTCTTTTAATAGGATACTGTGGAGCAGATATCAAAGCTGTGTGTTCTGAAGCAGCTTTATGTGCATTACGGCGTCGTTACCCACAAATTTACTCCTCATCTCAAAAACTTGTGCTTGATGTAAATTCAATTAGCATTACAAGTAAAGACTTCATGACCGCCATGTCCAAGATGGTGCCAGCTGCGCAGAGGTAAGACATGTTTTATCCTTAGGGCGTATTCACACTCATTCTGCTCTGGATTTTCCTTGCATTTGAATACAACCAAAACAAGAGTGAAGTAACCCTTTGCACTACAACCCACCAGCTTAGTGGCGACACACTTTATGAATAAACAAAGCCATAGTGTGCTGTTCATAAAGTCTCATTCACATATTTCCAGGATGAACTTGCCTGAGCTTTTGTTAAATCAGCGACAGAAGTACTGACCACATTAGCTCTTCCTGTCCATCCATTAAAAAATAACTCGTCTTATTAAGAATAGAGTTGTGGTTGCTTTCAGCTTTGTTCTAGCAAAATGTACATTATTTTATCAAAATTTCAAACGGTTAAGGTTGAATAAGGAAGTGTAATGGAGGGTGTTTATGAATTTGGAGGTAGCCAGGGTCTCTGCAGCGTCGTGAAATTGGTCTCCTTGACATCGGCTACATTCATACTGCACACGCTCAGAGACTACTTGCCACATAACCCAGGGGCTCCCATTTACACTGATGTCATAAGTGGCAGAGTGAATTCCTCTTGGGCATTGTTGTTTGGCAGCAGTCATTATTAGATTGATTTTATAAAAAGAAAATGTACATGCATATATATTTTTCTTTTCACAGAGCTGTAGCTTCACCAGCAAAAGCCCTTATCCCCGCTATCCGCCCCTTGTTGAGTACTGCTCTACAAACCATCATTCAGACTGTCAGCAAATTGTTCCCACACGCCGAGCTGGGCCTAAAGAGGAGGAAAGATCGAGGTATTGATAAATGGAACATTTCAAACAAAGCCCTTCAGATCAATTCATATTTTTTCACATTGGTGTGTATGGTCCTTTTGTAGATATTTCATTGGGATTATCAGAGGATGAATTGATGTTCAGTGACGACGAGTCTGCAGTCTGCTCTTCACAATCTACATCTAAGGAAATGTTCAACCTCAATAGGTGGGCAGGTGGAGTGGCTGAAACTGAATGTATATTTTGTTTGTACTGAAGTTTATTCTATTTTCAAAATGCAAATGTTGTGATTTTTAGTAGATTGTTAGGATTATGAGCTATTTTCATTTAAATAAATCAATAGTAAATGTTTATTTTTTGCCAATGTTTTTTAGGAGTGTGCTGAGCCAGCCCACATCATATCGTCCAAGGCTGCTGCTTCAGGGCCGTCCAGGCTCTGGTCAGAGCTCCTATTTGGCCCCTGCTGTACTCCATACTCTGGAAAAGTTCTCGGTTTATACTCTGGACATGGCTGTTCTGTTTGGAGGAAGTGCAGCTGCCCCAGAGGAAACTTGCGCTCAGGTGAGTAATTATAGATGTTTGTGAAAATGTCATAGATTTGCTAATATGTTTTTGTCTTACACTAAAGATCTTTGTGGAGGCTAAGCGCACATCTCCCAGTATTTTGTATATCCCACACATTGGACAGTGGTGGGAAATAGTGGGTCCAGCTTTGAGAGCTACATTTCTCAGTCTTCTTGGATCTATACCGGCATTTTCACCAATATTGTTGCTTGCTACTTGCAGCTTACAATATGATCAGCTGAACACAGAGGTACCCAGTAAACTGAAACTTGGATTATTTGAGCTATTGTGTTAAATGTCCAAAAATGTTTAAATTTCAGGTTCAGGAATTATTTAGAGTTGAATATGGTGAGGTGTTCCACATCCAAGTCCCTACAAGTAGAGAAAGAAGACACTTTTTTGAGGACCTCATTCTAAATCAGGCAGCCAAGGCCCCTGCCTCAAGAAAGAAAGCAGGTGACGACTGACGTCATATGTTGAAGTATTTCAATTATTCATCTACGTTAGTATAAAATGTGTCTATCTTTAGTGCTCCATGCACTGGAGGTGCTCCCTGTCGCCCCGCCACCTGCTCCTCGTCAGTTGACTCCAGAAGAAGTGAAAAAACTGCAGGAGCAGGAGGAGGGAACACTCCGGGAACTTCGCCTCTTCCTGCGGGATGTGACCAACCGCCTGTCCCTGGATAAAAGGTTCAAAGCTTTCACAAAGCCTGTGGATCTGGAAGAGGTCACTACTCTTTACTTTTATATGTCTGATAAATACCTTTGTATACAAATGTAATGCATTTACTGTTATCAATCATTTAGGTTCCAGATTATGTTGAAGTGATTAAAAAACCCATGGACCTCTCATCTGTGCTCACAAAGATTGACTTGCATCAGTATGGGACAATCAAAGAGTTTCTTCATGATGTAGACCTCATTTGGCAAAATGCACTGGAATACAACCCAGACAGGGACCCCTCTGGTACAAAGCTTTATTCACATGTCTTTATTAGCTATGAACAAAACGAATTTAGTAATAACAAGGATTAATGTAATTTTGATGTTTTTATTGAATGTTCATAGATCGGCAGATAAGGCACAGGGCGTGTGCATTAAAGGACACAGTTCATGCAATTATTAAAGATGAACTGGATGAAGACTTTGAGAAGATATGTGAAGAAATAAAAGAGTCACGCAGAGCAAGAGGTGAGATATTTTTCCATCTGAATTTGTAAAAGTCAACATTTGATAAAACTCCAATCCTCATTTTTGTATGTTCTCAGGTTGTGCCACTTCAGCGTTTACTCCCTCCTTCTACCATGTCCTTCCAAAACAGCCAAAAATCATGACTGCTGAGGCAAAGGTTAATGACGTAACCCCACAAAGAGGAGACGGCACTAAGTCTGCAGTCACTCCTGTAATGTCTACACCTGCAACAACCCCTAAAAGCTCAGGTAAAAGTTTGCTGCTGAGCAAATGAATGAATGACAACTGAGTGAATGAGTGTCCAGAAAAGTGCCATATATTGTAAAAACCCATGTAGTAGTAGTATTTTTATTAATATACAAGTGTGTGCAATTCTATTCATAAATAATATTGTTTCTGAAGGTCATAAGAGGAGACGAAGGAGAAGTCGCTGGGCTTCTGGAATCATTGTAAAGAAAAAGCTTTCTACTTCTCCACATGTGGCTAAAGACGACACACAGTCTGATGATGAAGAGGAGTATGGAGAAGACGAAGAACAGGGTGACAAGGTGCAGGAAAAGGGAACTAATGACCAAACTGAGAATGTGGAAGTCAGTGCAGACTGTACAGATAAACAGCAACAGCTTAGAGAGCAGGGAGAGGGCAGTCAGGCGGGTGCAGAACCCAAAGATGACTGTTTGGAGATGGTAGAAGTGGCTCAAAACAAAGATGGAAGTAGTGACAAGACTGAAATGGTGAGCAAAGTGCAAAATGATAGTGACGAAATGAAAGAGACACATGTCCAAGAACGGTCTGAGGCATTACAATGCTTAGCAGAGATGGAAATTCAGAAAACCCAGAGTTCTCAACAGCAAAATGTAAACGAGCCAAACAGCCACAGCGAAGCAATGGACGTGGATGAAGATTCGAAAGAGGATGATGGAGGTGAGGAAATATAAAAATGTTAATTATTGAAAACATGTACTATAATAAATAGCTTTTTAAAACCTTTTTCTGTCTTAGAACAAACTGTGAGACACATGACACGAGCTATAAAAACCACAGTGCAAAGGCAAGAGATGATGCCCGTAGATCAGGCTCTGCAAATCCTGGAGGAGGAGACTCCCCTTCTTGAGGTGGACAGGTCCAAGTTAAAAGTAAGACATTTGCTGGTGTATACATGTTTGTGTGATGAATAAGATTATTGAATTTATATTACTTTATTCTGTAGGAGCTGCTGGAGATGCTGGTGGTTAAGTCTGAGGGCTACGAGCTCCACCAGCTTGAAAAACTGTATGCTGTGCTCTGTCAGGCCATCTACAGACACCGGCGAGAGTACAATAAAACGGCACTAATACAGGTTTGTTACACTAACATTTGTAAGATGGAAGAAATTTCAAAGAGTTTATCAACTTTGTCAATTCATGTTTAAGAATATGAAATGATACAGTAGTATCATCAGTACAACAAATTTATAATTGAATATGAACATGTATTTTCTCACCTTTTTTGCCTACATGAAGGCACACAGTTGTAAAGGACATCATTTCTAGGTATAACACAACCGGTCTCCTTTAAACCAGGGAGGTTGAATATCAAATCACAGCAACGTGCATTTAGCACAGATTTTACACAAAGGCTTCATGTTAAGTAGAGAGTAAAGCAGAAAAAAACATGCCAAATCTGTTAGTGTGGACCCAGAACACAGATGTTGAATCGACCAAAATGTCAATAAACATGATTCTGCTGTCATCATTTGAGCTTACTTATTTGATATACCTGCCTCATAATTAATTAATGCCTGATCTAAGCAATCCGTGTGATTAATTACCTTTTTATGTATTGATTGTGAACATTTCCCTTTCTTTTCAGGAGTTGGAAAATGAAATTAAAGACTTCTGCTGACATTCTACTTTGTATCTCTGATTGATATATTCTCTGTAAAATGTAAATATTAACAGTTTTAGATCTATTTTCATAACCCTATGACTAATGACATTTTCTATTACCGTTTTTTATCAACTAAATGTAGTATTAGTTTTACAGCCAATATTTGTGGGTATATTTGAACTTAGTATCGTCAATCAGGTTTATCAACATGTTTAGTTTTAACACTAATGTCACTGCATGTAATTTGATTCATATTATTTGTATTTATTCATAGTATTGTCAAAATGTGTCTAAAACATGCAATAAACACGTACACAGTCTGCCTGTCGTATCGTTCACTCAGAAGCTTGTTTATAGTAGGCCATGTACAGAAGTGGGAATGTCCTCACATAGCTTCTGTGGCTGCCCACGTGGGTCACCTAAGGACAAGCTGACAGCCAAACATTACGGGTTTACGAGCCCTTTTCTTTTATATATGTTAGCCGCTTACATACAGGATTCATGGCAACAATGTGTAATACGTTTATGAAAGCACATCGATGATTAAAAAAAATTAAAATGCATAAGGAAGATTTGAGTCGCTGTGGAATGACGTCAACGCGTTTCACTGAATGATGACGCCGTTTGATCATTAAAAATCTGCCCTTAAATTATCAGGGAATTGGGTCAGCAAAGTAACGCTATACAAATGGAAACCCCGTGTTAATTCTCTTGTTTTATGGGCCAGAAGAGCGAATTAGGAGCCACAAACGCGCTGTTCTGACGAAGAGAAGATGCCCGGTATTTGAGCATCTGTTCCAGCCGTAGCAGTCAGACCGGTCCGCCGTCTGCCTCCGCCGGGGTTGGAGCCCTGCGAGCCCCGGCAGCCTGAATGCGTATCCGGAGAGCGGTGGGTTATCATTCGCAGCCTCGTGTGGTGGGTTAGGAAAGCTCCGTGTGTGTCCCTGCACTGCTGGGACTGCACACGTCTCTGTACGGCTGTAGTTTACCGCCTGGCGTGATCAATAATGTGACCGGCCCAGCTAACCACGGCTAGTTGGCCCGCTTCACGTACGCGCCATGAATGTTAGGATACCATCATGTTCACCTCCTGGATTTTCATTTGCGCACCCAAATCTATATAGATCGAAAAATTGCATTATTTTGTTGGAAATGCTATTAGTGTATTTAAAGTAAACGAATATATATCACATTGTCAGGATAATGGAACGTGATAACTTATGTTTGTAGATTATATAGAAATGACTAAACTGTCAAAGAAACTGGAGTTACATCCATAAATGATTTTACAATTAATGTAGGCAAAAAGATGGTCATTATCATTAAATAAAACGTATTCAGGATTTTTTTGTGTCCTGAAACCCTGCTAGTATTTGACACAAAACCGATGAATCTCAAGAGCAACTCAAAGTGGTGCAGCCTTTTTACATTTCAGTGACATTAATATTATAATACAAATTAAATTATAGATATACTTTTGGTTACATTATTCAATAGTGTTTTACTCTACTAAATAAAAGGAAAGGCTTTATTTGGTTCTTAATGCAGTCTTAAACCATTTTATTGACACATAATTTTTTTTTAGACCTAAACATGTCAAGCCGTCGAAAATCAACTACACCCTGCATGGTGCTGCTGACAGATGTAGAACAGGAGAAGGTGAGGCAGAGAACTGTGGAGCCCCAGGACCACCAGTCTGAGATGGGCCTAAATGAGCCTCAAAAAGAAGTTCCAGTGGCTCAGGACTTGGACCAGACTGTGGTAGCTGCACACACTCCTTCAGATACAGGTAAGCTTGTTTCCTCCCAAGGTCCCATGCCTGTAAAACCTGTAAAATCATTCCTAACCCTTAAAGTTTAATTGGATATGATCTTATGAACGTGACAATGTATTTGTGTACTAGATGATCCAACTATTGCTGCTATGGAGGACATTGATGTCAATAGTCCTTCGGTGAAGCAAAGCACTACAAACCTTTCAGAAGATCCCAGCAGCGACCAAGCAAATGCAGAACAGAGTGACACCCTCGATGAGAGCATTGCAGACCCCACAAGTGTCAATGCCATCTCCCTCAGCAAGACTCCAATTATGAGGCTGAAGACAAAATCTGAGCCAAAGAAGATCGCTGTGTCCCTCAAATCAACAGAGGAAGCAGTGGATGGCTTTGGAGGAGGCAGTGAAGGGGATGTCGGGGGAGAGCAGGAGCCCATCGAAGCACCCTTGGGACCTATGACACCAGTGGACATGTTACTGCATGACTCTATTAAGCTGGGAGGAGGGGGTTTACTCCTCAGCCCTCCTCTGGAACAGCAGAGGAAACCCTCACTTCTAAATCCTACTGTCATTCCATCTGGTTTTGCCCAAGTAGGTCATATCCAGCATTAAAAGAATAGTGTTAGTAGAATGAGCGGAAAACTGGAAATGATGATTCAAAATGATTTGCTATTTACACTTTTTACTGCTTTTATCTTAGGTTCTTTCTGCTTTTCAGGCCCAGCAGAGCACTTCCACAGCAGTCCAGCCTCAACTCCTTATTCCTCTTAGTAGCATCCCCTCCTACAGTGCAGCCATGGATACCAACCCGCTTCTGTGCAGCACTTATAAGAAGTTTCCTTATCCCTCTATGAGTGAGATCAGCAGCCTTGCATCACAAACCCAGTTCACAGAGGAGCAAATCAAGGTGAAGCTAAAGAAACTATAAAAATACTGGATAAATACTGTTAACTATCACATACTGATACATAGCTCCAAATGTAAGTATGTGATAGTATATACAGGTAGTTAATGCATCATGAGTCCTTTCTTTGTCCAGGTATGGTTCTCAGCTCAGCGTCTGAAGCATGGTGTTAGCTGGACCCCAGAAGAGGTGGAAGAGGCTCGTAGAAAACAGTTTAATGGCACTGTGCACACAGTACCACAAACCATCACTGTCATCCCAGCCCACCAGCTTTCCGCTGCTGCTAATGGTCTGCAGTCCATTCTCCAGACCTGTCAGATCGTGGGCCAGTCTGGCCTTGTTTTCACCCAGGTTTGTGTTAATAAAACAAAAAACAAAATATGTTAAAGGACTTGAAAATTCTTGAATTACTCTGAAGGTTGGCCCAGGAGGAAACGTTCCTGTGACCAGCCCCATCACATTGACAGTGGCAGGACTTCCCAGTCAATCCCAAAGTTGCAGCAGAGTGTCGTCCCAATCCAGCTCTTCCACCAGTGAACTGAAACGAGCCACAACTATCCAGCCCCCATCCCTCTCTCCACAGGTGACACAATTTCTGAAGTTTAAATTTAAATAATTTTTCTATTTAATCAGCATATTTTAATTTATTTTTTGGCTTCTAAAGGAGAACTCATTACTTTGTGACACTTTTGGAATGCGGCCTAAGAAGTCCAAAGAACAGCTTGCAGAATTAAAAGCAAGCTACCTAAAAAACCACTTTGTTACTGATGCAGAAATTGCACGCTTGATGACGCTAACAAACTTGACTAAAGGTGAAATCAAGAAGTGGTTCAGTGACACCAGATACAACCAGCGCAACTCCAAGAACAGCCATATAATTATGGTTCAGGATAGCACTCGAGGTGGGAGTAGTGCTAATGCTACCATCATCATTGACACAAGTGATGAGACCCCCTGCTCGCCTAATTCTTCCCATACCCCCACTTTAAAGGAGAAGGAAACTCGTTCAAAGTCCTGGAATACATTTCCTGATTTTACACTTCAGAAGTTCAAGGAGAAGACACCAGAGCAGCTGGTGGTTTTGGAGGAGAGTTTTGAGATGAGTAGTTCTCCCTCTGATGAGGAGCTGAGCCGTTTGAGGACAGAGACCAAACTAACACGACGTGAAATAGATGCCTGGTTCACAGAGAGACGGAAATTCCCATCTGCCAATGCCTCCTCTCCAGACTCTGAAGAGGGAAAGATGGAGATGGACTCCACAAAAACAGTGGAAGGGGAGGAAACTGGTGATACGGCTTCTGTAAAGGGGAACCAAACTCCCCCTGAAAGTAAGGAGTTGCCATCCACAAGCTGTGGCAGCAAAGATGTGAAAGATAAAGGTAAAAAGTCACCAGAACAGCTGCACATGTTGAAGTGTGCCTTTGTGAAAAACCAATGGCCAACAGCCGAGGAGTATGCCCAGCTGGCAGAGGAGAGTGGCCTCACTCGTGCAGACATTGTCAGCTGGTTTGGAGACTCCCGCTACTCCTGGAAGAATGGGAACCTCAAGTGGTTCTTTCAGTACCAAAGTGGCAATGTTGAGGTGTCAAACATCGGAGCAGGAAAGACAGGAGGTGGACGAAAGAGACGTGGCAGGAATCGGGGCTGGGGTCGTTCAAAGACACGAAGGCAGACGAGAAGATCAACCTCTTACAGTGCAGATGCGGATGTGTCTCCACCAAAGAAATTTAAGAGTGGTAGAGATATTCTTAAAGATTACTACCTAAAACACCAGTTTCTCAATGAGCAAGACCTCGATGAGCTTGTCACTAAGAGCAACATGAGCTATGAACAGGTAATAAACAGTACTTACTACTTACTTTAGATCCATCCAGGAACTAATCAACTTCTGAAACAAACATTTATTTCTGCCCCTTCTTGTCTCTGTCCTGTAATTTTATGTAATTCATTATTATGTCAGTAATTGTAGCACTTTAACATCACACTTCCAAACAAAAGTAGTGCCCTTTTGAGCAAGAAACAAAATATTATAGGAAGTGCAATTATTTTTCACCATTATCTTCTACTGAATATAGAAGTGTATATATATGTATATATATAATATATATATATATATATATATATATATTATATATTAGTTCTTATTCTGAAACATGAAATAACAAAGTAAATAGTCTATCAGTTCTTTAATAATATTTATTCAATTTAAGTTTTAATGAACAAAGGAGTCTGGTCGTATTTTGAGCTTTAGAAATGTCAAGAACCCTATGTGTTGTTTGTATAAAGTGTAACCACAACCCTAACCCTTTTCAGGTGAGAGACTGGTTTGCTGAAGTCCAGAGACGTCTAGACATGGGACTAGACCCTTTCCAAGAGTCACCCGTCCGAAGGCCTCACAGAGAGGGAGAAGATGCCCAGGTCTCATTGGGACAACAGGGAGGTCTCAGGATGGGAGAGGATGAAGAGGATGAAGATGAGGAGGATGGAGAGGATTCAGATGACAGTGAGGTTTGGGAACCTTCACGGAGCGTGAAAAAATCTCTGTCTGTTTCTGAGGATTGATGATTTTGGATTAGTTTAAATGGTGCAAGAGAAACAATTCTGATGCTATGAATGCATTGTCTTTTGCACCAGTGTGCACAATGGCACACTTCCATTCACTGTATTTTTACATTTCCGGAGACTATGGATGTTAGCTTTAGTGTTTCTGTGTGGCAATCCTGACAATGATGATAAGCTTGATAGGGAAAGACCTAAGAGGCACTGAAAACCAAATGTTATTGTTGTTTAAGACAGTAATGTCAGTAAGTAATACCATGAAGTGCAATCCTCAACTGAGGTTCAAGAAAAACTCCAAAAAGAAGTTTCTACACAATCTTTAGAAATAAATACTGTTGCAAACAGACAATTCCTGCTAACAGAAGGATGCTGCGTTGACGATTTTAATGTTGGATGTTTTCCTTTGGTCCTAAATGAACTGCTGAGGCCAAACCCAGATGTGTTGTGTTTACGAGGGTGCTAAAATGTGATTGTTTTCACATAATGCGACCATGAGATGTCACTGCTGAGCAATGTCTCTCACAGTGGACCGGACTTGAACGTTTGCTTGTTTTACCTGTTTACTTGTCATTTTGAGCACCTGCATAATTCCCAGAACCAGACGTTACTATTTTACACAGATTTTAAATCTGTTGAGAGATTATCTGATGGAAGTTAAGATGGTACTTTGAATATTTGGACATGGGATGTCTACATAAGTCTTCCCTTATGTGGTCCTGTGCTGGCTGATATGCAGACAATAATTATGACCTCCCCCCATTTTCATTTTAAAGAATGTGTTGTGCTCCATACTTCATTATTAGAAAGTATGACACTCTACTCTTCTGTTGTATTGTCATGTTGATGTGCCAAAGTTGAATGTGTTGCCTCAGAAAAGTGAAGGCACAGTTGTGGAGAGTTACCACAGTTGTTAAGTCCCGATAAAACAGAAATGGTACATTGTATTGAGTGCTCCTACTTCACAAAGAGACTGCAACTACTAGTAATTATAATGTATTTTTTGTAACAAGTATGTTACTGTTGTGTAGCTTTTAAAAACTATGTGAGGTCAATCACAGCTGTGATGACAGCTTCCCTTAAAGTATTGCTTCAATAGTGACAGACAGTTCAAACAGAAAATATTCATTTCCAAATTACAATTATCCACCTAACAGAAAATTAGGTTTGTGAATTTTAAGGTCAAACCTTAACGGTCACTGTCTAACAGTATTTTTGAGCAATGCTGACTCAGTTCTGCACTGAATTAAAACAATCTTAAGCACCGACTAAACCTTTAAATGCACTTTGTCCACACGTGCACTTGTTGGACTTATCCCTGATTTGGCACCTTAATCTTTGCCATGAGGCTCTGAGAGAAAAACATCTCCACAGCCGTTTGTCTATGGCTAAAAGCTAAACCAGTGTTTTGCCTTTTTATTCTTCGTAATTTTTGGAGGAGGGACCTTGGCAAATGTTTATACAAATGTAAGGTGTGTGTTTGTATGGCTCAAAAATAGCTGAACAATCATTCACTAAATTGCACAATATGAGCCAATTTTCATGTCTTCACTTTAATATCCCTTTGCTCCTCTCTTCCTGCCAGCTTATTCTTCTGAATAATGGTGCATTCCCGAGACATATCTCTGTAGATGTTTGTACGGCTTTGTCTTGGTGACAGACAGATGCATGTGTGCAATACGACTGTCCTTGTGCATCTGGTGGGAGAGCAGCGACAATAAAGCTTTGTAGATAAACCTTTGTGCCTCCATGGCTTGTACTCTTGGTTGAACTGAATCGCACTTAAAGAAAGCAAAGGCGATAAGATGTTATTAATGTGCTGATTGTTCAAACAGAAGGACACATGGTCAAGCTCTGCTTTGATGCCTATAAATGCTTGAGCTTATGCATTAATATCATCTGGCCCAAGGTCTTGAATCGAGGTGATGTTTTTGATCCTTTGACCCCAGGCATTTGTCACATTCCATTAATGTGCTTTGTGCTTATTGATAATCAACTGTTCTAGCTAGTAATGTATCAGCTTTTAGTCTTACACTCTTCCTGTGACAAGTGCCTGGCAGTACAAAAAGTTGAGCTATACCTTTTGTCTAATCATGCATGCAATAACTATCAATTGCATATTTTGTACACACAATATTAATTAGGCTGTGGGACAGTTAAAGCCTTACCTGGTTTTGGTACCTTTATCCGCCCACTTTTTAAAAAGAAAACATTTTGTGAACACTGTAAGTCGTTTTTTCAATTTATCTAGTTTACCTGCCCTGTCATCCATTTGTCTTTGCAATGTTTTTAGGTGTTTGTTCAAGATTTGCTTTACTCTGTTCCTTGTTATTACTCATTTATAGTGCGTTCTTTCAGTCCATTGTTTTGAATGGATCTGTATTCATCATATAGAAACTGTGTCCTGTATCCATACTAGTGATTTAGGAGATAAACTCCCTAAAGTTCTTTTTAGGTTATTGCATTTTGAATTGAAATGTAAAGTTACAACTTCAGAACAATAAATAATAAAAAACAGAAAAGATGCAAGATTGTTTTTCACTTTTGCTATAACTGGGAAATGGGAAAATTACCGCAAATAAGTCAAAAAAGAAAAGAAGAAATAATGTAGCAAATGTTTTTTTCCACAATGTTTTTTAAATTATGATAGGGTTTTTTCTCTCTAAGCATAACTACATACCCATATAATGAAATTGCTATTATGAATATTAAGCATTTTTGACCGAGGCAATGGCTTGCAACTTTACATTTCTTATTTGTGTAGTAGAATAAGTGCTAAGAGTATTATGTTCTTGGTGCTCTGTATTTACTTCTTTCTGCTGTAGTCCTCATGTGTACTCTGTACTTAGATCAACAGCTGGTTGAATGTTTTATTGCAAATTGAGATGTGTTTTCATTGTAAGGCTGACTTTTGAAAAGTAGACGCTGTACCATTTTATTGTAATAATAAACATTATTTTGTAAACAGATCCATGTATTTTTGTATTCTTTATGAGAGTTCAAATTATGATGATGATCATGTACAACGTGGTGGCATGAGTCTTAGTAAATTTCTCTATAGAATTTCATCCCATACAGATTTCAAGGTAAAAAAAAACAAAACATTTATATGGAAACAAGCCGGAGGACTGTGCGTACGAGTCATGTCTGTGAAGTCTGCTAAAAGTAGGAATGTTTATATATCTCATCAGTATTGTGTGCATTTGATGTTTTTTTTTTCTATGTTTGTAAGAGCCATGTAAATCCATGGTCTAACTAAAAACACAAGTGTTGGTGCCCGGAACGGTGGTAAGCGGAACCATTATAAGAATATGGAACTTGACGTGCGTTTCTTAACACCGCACATAAACAGTGCTACATTTGTTGGGCTCGTGAATGCTCGGGATGTATTCATAACCTACACCATTTAATGTGACACTATGGAACTTTTCGGGAGTACATTTGACGACTCCATGTTTGTGGAGACGAAGGACCGTGAGTGCGTGATTCTAGAGTCGTACAAAGCCAAAGTCTGCGAGCCCCAGGTGGGTGTTGGTACTTACTTTAGTTCGTAATTTGTAATTATCAGTATTGATCCCACATGTCTTGGTTACAGTGGTTTCGTGAAGATGCTGCTCTCGATACTGACGATTCTTTGGAGAGGCAGAAAGTAATGAAATTCAGAGGAGACTTGGCGGTGAGAAAGGGAGAGCATCAGGTATGTTTCCGTGTAAGCTCTCAGTCGTACAGGGATTAGTCAAAACAAAGGAAGGTTGCTCATCCATCATCTGTACTTCAGTTAGCAGGTTTATCGGCGTTTCCTTCTTCACCCTTTCATTCCCTTGAAAAAGTTATTTGGATGAAGAACGAAACGTCGGCAAAACCTGCTAACTGAAGTACAGATGATGGGTGAGAACCCTTCCTTCCTTTTCATCAGGTATATTGTTACTGTTGCTGATTACTGTATGTCTTTATCCGTTTTGCTATTTAATCATTTCCATAACTGATGTACCCATAGAAAGCTCTTGAGGCATACAGTGCTTGTCTTTCATGGATCTCTGATAACAATTTGAACATCAGGAGAGATGTGTTGGAGGGAATGGCTCGATGCTGCATCAAAATGGGACAGAAAGAAAAGGCACTGGAGTTTGTGAATTTATTGGTAAGGTATAGATGTTTTCACATGTTTGCAATCCAAGCTAAGAGTATAATTTTATATTTTTCTAACTTTCAGAGTAAAGAAGTTTCCAACACTTGTCATCTGACAAGTCTCCTTTTACTCAAGGTTGGCTTCATACAGATTTGCTAAAGAAACACTGCAATTTTGTTCATGGAGGATGCGCAGGCAGCAAATCCGCCCACCAAAGATTGCAAAGTGCACCATTACTGTAGTTTAGTTGTATGCATCTATAAACCTAAACTTGATGCTCTATCCAAAGGTCAGTTTGTACCATCATGAAGATGTAGGATCCAAGATATCTTGTCTGCAGAAGCTGTGCAGCTTGTTACCTTTTAACCCTTGGCATTGGCTTGAGTTGGGTCACACTTGCCAACAGTTTCTCAGAAGTAGCAACATTACAGGTATTGCTCAATCTCTTAGAGTAAGAGCTATCGGTTAGGATTCAATTTGTCATTGGTTTTCATGTTTTTCCAGAATCCCCAAAATGTCATGTCAAAGTTCAAAATAATGAAGATGTTGTCGATCTTGATGAAGACACAATTTGGCTCAAAGCTTGTGCCTGTTTCATTAGGTCCAGGTAAAGCATGCAGTATAATGAATAATGCTTTGCCTGCAAGAATACAATAAAATGTCAGTCTTTGTGGTATTCATATTTTTCACCCTTTCAGACTTTTGCTGAGAATCCTCCAACAACAACAGTCCTCGTTTGTGCTAAAATGCAATGAAAGAGCCCTGGACGAGATCCATCAGGTGCTCCAGACGCTAAATCCCACAGAAACGACCTTAAAGATCTTGACAGAGGTGAGGATGAAATATATGCAAGACACGACCAAGACTGTGTGCTTGATGTATTAATTTTCATTCTCCAGGTAATGTCAGAAGATCTTATTCCAGAGAAGATGAAGGAGGATTATCAGGATGGGGAAAGTTTGGCCACTGTGTGTGTCCAGAGCTTCAGAGAGCGCTGGTGGGACAGAGTGATTCAGACAAACTTATGAACAAAGCAGACAAAAATAAATGATTTATTTTAGACCTGTCTCCATACTTATTACTTTATATTTAAAACTCAGCTTTTACAGTGGTGGTGATATCGTCTTTACAATAGTGTCAAAACAGCTGTTCTAATGCTGTTTTAATAGTGGAGGATTGCATCATGCCATCTTGACATATTTACCTATGTCCTGCTGTCACCTGTAAAAAATACTTTCCAAGAAAAGGTGATTTATGTTGGTAAATACAAATGTGGGGCTTACATGTCACTTTGCAGCAAACATACATACTGAAGTGCAGTAGAATAGAAGGTGCCGGTGCATTGGAGACTTGACTGTCACCTTTTTTTTACAGAGTTATCCGATCTCCAGGTGTAATGCTGTTTAGGACCGGAACAATTAGGCCACTAATTTTACCAGTCACTATAAAAATGTAAATTGTCATTTTTTTGTGAAGCAATGTACTTTGCTTAAATATATGACCGTGAAATGACTTAAACTGCATTATCTTTACCTCAAATGTGCAGGGTCTTTGAAAATGAACCATGCAAGTGTGCTTTTCATGTTTTTATTACACTTAAGAACCTTGCATCTGTACACTTGTTCTTTAGTCAGCCCTCCTGCATGTCTTTAAGTCAATAACCAATCCACTGAGTACATTCCTAAAGAGTTTTCCCTTCTGAGCATGATGGAATCAAGATGAGATGTGCAGCCACCGACAGAAAGGGGTGCTTTAAGTTATGTGTTTTTCATTTCTTTCAGTCAAACTTTTACTCCTTGTTAATGGTTTCCCTGAGGTGATGGGAGACCTCCTGTCCATCTGTGTTAGGATCCTTGGAGTGGTGTCATGCCATGTCTTTTGTCGTGCCGTTGCTCCTTCTCTCATGGTGTTATTCTGAGTCATCCAGGCCAGTCTTGACGGGGCTTTCACCTGCTGGAGGACTGTCTGCTGTGGTGTGAACATCTTTTGTTCTTTTGGTTGTGTTGCAACACTCGTGTTTGGGGATGTTTGTGACTGAAGGCTGTGACGTCTTATTGACTGCTCTTGTGCTGGGATTCCATTGGACATGACTGTAGTTTGAAATCCATACATTGGCCCCCAAACACATTTTTTTGTAGATTGCTTTCTCCTCATTTCCAGTGGCATGAAAGCTGGTGAGAGACTTAATAAAGGAGTTTGCTTTGACTTGGGTTTTGTTGTGTCGTTTTCTGCTCTATGTTTGGTGATGCTTGCAGCAATGCCAGGAGGTGTTGTAGTGGCCCTGCTTTGAGTCCAATAATCTTCATACAGAAAACCATATTGACTTTTATTCTGAGCTTTGACCTGTTGAGAAAAATATGATTTTGTTTGTGTGTGATGTGAATGCAAAACATTCTTTTGGCCTTTTGAAATATCCTGCACTGGGATCCCACCTAGTGTCAGCTTTGTAAACTTTTTCATGCACATATGCTGCATTACTGGTTGCCTGAGAGGCCTTGAATACTGAGATGAGATGTTCGCGTTTTCCTTTTTGTGACTATTCAAACCATCTTCAATCCACTTGTTTATGCGAACCATGTCTGTGTGGTTTGATATGGCCATACTCTTTGGTTGTTGTTTGTCTGTGTGCGTTTTAAAAGGAGCCGAGGTAGATGCATTTATGAATCCAGACACTGGGGTTGAGGAAGAGGAGAGTCTTTCAAACTCCTCGAGGAAATGTGGGACAGCACTGTCTTTGACGATGAAAGCGAGACTCCGATGGACCACCCAAGAGAGACAGGAGAAACTAAGAGGCAGTACACAAATATTAGAAAGCACAAAACTATTATTTTAATTACAATCATGTTGTTTTACCTGAAAGATCCGATCAGAACCTCTGTTGAGTCACTGATGATGAAAGTTTCGGACAGTTGACCACTGAGCTTTCTGCCGTTCTTGGCACAGTATGTATGTCCTTTAACGCTGCATACTGACAGTTTCTACAAAGAAAAATACAAATACAGATCACTAAAAATAACATTCATTATACTGTGTCTTAAACATGTTACCAAAGCACATAACAGGTTTACAGTGAGTATGTGCTGCATATTTGAAAATGTACCCATGTAAATATAGCAGTCACATGGTGAAATGTAAAGATCAAATTCCCTTCAAAGTGGGCAGCTGTAGAAAAGGGCGAAGCTAACATCAACACATTTTAAATCAGGAGAAAATGTATGTGTATAAAAGTAGCTGATTAAACATGAATTATAATGACTTGAAAGCATGCACAAAGAAGTTAAAGTAACGTACAGGAAAGTCTTCGCTCCGGAGTCTGAGCTGATGCCACATGTCTCTGAAAATGCTCAGGTTTAAATGATCCAAAATAAGATGGACTGAGACAAATCTCTTCCTACTCGCCTCAAGCAAGTCACACAACAGCTCCACATCACTGAAGTGGTCTGTCACTAGGGCCAGCGTCTAAAGGACAACAACATTTGAACAACATTTTATTACGTGCTATGGGAGTGATGATACACTAGTCACTCGATGAAAGCAAACATGGAGACACAGAAATATGAAGTACCGTTTCAGCTTTTCTGATGAACTCTCTGACCACATCCTTTATCCCAGCAGCTCTGTTCTCAGAGTACAGGTACAGCTCCACGTTGGACTCGTGAGACTGACAGCCAGCTTTTCCATCTAAGAAAAGAGTAGTCAGCCTTTTGAGTCCAAATATACAGGGCTATTTATATTTGAATCAGCAGTGCAAAATGTAGTAAGAATCATCCATCCATTTTCTACCCCTTAATCCATTTCTATGTGCACCCATGTCACATAGCACCAGCCCCTCATTGATCCTCCAGCAGGTGGTGAGTCCACAGGAGGACGGTTGCTCTGTAAGTGTGAGCATAGCCTTGATCTTTCAGCGGGGGCTTCAGACAAAGTGGGGTTAAGTGTCTTGCCCAAGGACACAACGCCAGCAGACATCAGTGGGAGACGGAGAGGTGGGATCGAACCCACAACCTTCAAGCCTAAAGGCCAATGCTCTAACAGACTGTCACCCAGAATTAGATGTCTTTAATTATACATTTGTAATACAATAAAACAATGCTAAGGTTGTAATTTGATATATGTAAATAACATAATAAGTGAACTCGTACAACTTTTAGCTGAGCTTGAGTGAATACCTTCAGTAGAGCAGGGCACTGAGGGACACTGTGTCGCTGAATGAAAGCTGGAGGATGAGCTTTCAAACGCATCACCGCCATCACCTGCATCTGGTTCAGCTGTTTGGTACAACACATGATCAATGTGCTAATAGTATAAGTAACATTCCAAATACAAACAATTTGTCTTACAATCTTCTCCATTTTCCAAGAAGTATTTCTTCTCCAGCTGTGACAGGAAGTCCACTTCTCCCTCAGTCTGCAGCGTCTCTTGGTAAGCCTCCAGGCCCTGTGAGAGGAGACAGTCTGCGGCCAGGCGAGCGCTCTCATTGTGGCTCAGCTCCAGAGTGGCCCTGCTGCTCAGAGAGTCAAAAATGGACGAAGATGGTATCCGCAAGTCCTGCACTCTTCTCCTGACTTTACCCTGTAGTTTGACTCTTCTGCACCAGAGCGGAGGGACATTTGCTTCCATTAGAGAGTCAGAACAAACTAGGTTTTGTCACGTACCAGCCTGTTCCAACAGACTGAAGCAGTCATCTCAGACTGCACGCTACTGGGGGAAGTTAGACATGCTTTTCTCTGAGAGGAAAGAGAGGGAACTGTAAACACGCCCCTGCTTGAAGTCACTGTTTAACTCTTAACACATGACTCCCAATTTCACACAAGCCCTGAGGCCACAGAAAGAATGAGAACAAGACGTTACATTTATCCACAAGCAACTAGCAATTAGGAACAAAAAAGGAATGTAATTGTAAAAGGTTTTCCAATTATTCAATAGTTTTGCACCCAGGTATAAATCAACAGTGTCAAAGTTCTTCAGAGATCAGCACATGCTTAAGGGAGGAGGGCTGGAAATAAATGAGTGACAGGTATGAAGATACTTGTCAGCAATAGTTCATGTCAAACTCACACCTGCTGCTCTCAGAGCCCAAACTCACACGGAATACTGAATCCACCCTTTAGTCAATTATAATGGAGTGACTGTGGGGGTGTATTAGACCTCCTTCTAATGTCTACAAATGATTTTGTGTTAAAAGAAATGTTGTATGTTGGTTTACAATGTTCTGTCTCAGTCCATGATTTTACCTCTTCATTTTGTAGAATATATAAATATTTGACCTCGTCTTAGATTGGCGATATTATGTTGATAATAAAAATTAAAACAAGTTTTACGCAGTTTTAGTGTTGGCATTACCCTTATTCAATAAACAATTTACTAATAACAAGTTATTAGAAAGTGACTTTTGGCATGTTCTATCCCCTCAAAAATAAAAACATATCTCATGTTAGTTTTTAATGCATCATTTAATGCATAAACAAACTATGTTCAAAAAATGACTTGTACAAAAAATATATTAATAGTAAAACATGTTGAGTTTCACTTGTTCACTAAAACAGTTGTCATTGAGAAACGGGGGAAGGCAGAGTGTGGATGGACTGAGAAGACACAGAACTTCCTTCTTTGCCTCGAGCTGCAAGTTTTTGCCTCAATTCCCGGATTTCCTTTAGCAGCACTCGCTCCCCGTCATCCAGCTGAGCCCGACCACGGTCCAGCGAGACTTCACAGGAAGAGGAAAAGACAAAAATACATTTGACCAGCTGAAGAATAAGGCAGTTAGGCAAGAACTGATACTAAACTCTAATCTCCTGAATACTTACAGCTGGTGGAGGTGCTCTCTGAGGGCGAGCTGCTGTTCAGACAAACCCTGGTCGTTCCCTGTTCCTGCGCTGAAGCTGCCGTTCTGTGGCCAGTCGTGAAAGCTGCACTAGTACTGGGCACGGCAGCCTCAGTCGTGCCATTTGAAGAGTGAGGGAGTCTGTGAGAGGATGGAGAGGATCTTTGTCTCACGCCACCTTTGGAATGTAAAAAATAGTATTATCATGTTGTATAATTATAGTATTAACTATTAGTCACAATGTTATTTCACACAAAAGACAATCCCAGTTTTAAGTGGGAAAAGATTAATTAAATGTGTGTCTAAAACTGTTCAGATAATGTTCAGGACATCTGTAAACTCTCCCATCCAACTTACAGGAGCTGTTCCATGATAGAGACGCTCACCACAGGCACAAACTCAGAGGACACGGTAAATTATATCAACCTAAAATTAGAACAACCCTTAAGTCAATGTGTATCTCTGTGAGTGGAGTTAATATTTGTAACGGACCGTCAGATAAATTGAAATCATCCTCAAACATTAAAATATTCAAGAACAAATTTAAAAACTATCTGGTGTTGAGAGAGGGATGGGGGGGTCGGAGAGTGATTGGGCCAATGTGAGTGTGTTGTGTGTTTGGTTTGTATGTTTGTATGTGTCTTAATCTCCTGTGTGCTGTATGTATGACTGTGGAATGTAAGAGGTTGGAAATATACAAGCCTTTGCTTCAGCCAACCCCCTTTCCAAACCTTGTAAATTGATTGTATTATTCTGTTGTACAATTATGTTAATGATGGTTTTTGGAATAAACAGATAGCTGAATAAATAAATAAATAATTAAACGGTAAACTGGTTGAATTTTGGAAAGGCCTTAATGGCTCAAAACTCACTTCCAAACTGTTAAAGTGTTTAAGTCCAGCTCCATGACCCAAAAGCACTTGGGCTTTAGGCTCAAACTGACTGTGAGGTTTAACCATCAGGATTTCCTGGAGGCAGCTGAATTCATTGTTCCATCAATGACAGCAACTTGTCCAGAGCTGAGGCAACAAAGCAGCTGTAGCAACCGATTAAACATGTTTCAGTTCAATTCATCCATTTTATAGCAATATTAATATCTTATCATTCATATTAATATAATATTAGTATCGGTTATAGTAATGATAACAAAACTAAATATGGCATATATTTACTTTTGAAAACATTTGTGTACATGTGCAACTGAAAATAATGATTACGTTGCCCATGAAGCAGGTTAGAGTTTTGAGTTCCTGCAGATTGTGATTTGAGTTTGTGTTAAACTTCAGCCCATGCCTTTTCGGTCTTTAAATTGTTCTGAATTGTTGGAAATTATTCTAATAGATATTTTTAAGATGATTAACCAACTAGACATGGTGTCCGTTTGATCAAATGCAGTGTTATTTTGCCATGCAGTGGTCTGCCTTTTAAGGAGTGACTTCCAGTTGCTTTTCAGTTTTAGGTGTGGCCAATGAAATGCAACTCATCTTTTCAAGAAAGTTACTCACAACTGAACACAGACTGGTCACTTTTTCACCGGGGGCCAAACATATTGGATTTTTTCTCGCACTTAATGAAAGTAATGATAATTTGAGATTGACTTATTAGTGTGATGGAAAAAAATTGTCCTGCCAGTGTACTGTTGCCGATAAAAAGTACCTCTTTTTCCTGGGGACATGCGGTTATGCAGATGTGCAAACTCGACTTGGGCGTTCATGACGTCTTCCCACTAAAGCACATATTTGATACAGTGATTAGAGGTTGAAGTATTCTTTTAATATTCTTAACAAGCAGTAGTTTCTGCACCGTCTTTCCTGCTGCTGCTCTCACAGTGTCAGTCAGTCTCTGCTCCTCGGTCTCCGTTTGCCAGAGCATCTGGGACAGTCTCTCTCTGTTTGAGTCCTGCTCCACATTCTCTAACCGCTCCACTACCTCGCGCTCCCAGCACAAGTCCAAATGCTGCTGGCACGCCTCTGCCAGGGAGGTCTCTGGATCCTGAGGAGTAAAGACCATTAACATGCCTTTTATCAACTCAGAAAGCCAGTTTCCACCGAATCTAGTTTATCAATATGGGAATGTCCTTCAGGTCAGTAAAGTGTGCATCTGCAGTTTTTACCTGAATGTTTTGGTTTGGTTTATAGAGTCGCTGTAGAAGAGTGTCATTCTCTGCTTGTCTCAATCTCATTTCCACTTCAGTGCCAACTCTTCTATCAGTTTCCTCCTGCTCTTTCAACAAGCACTAGATGAGGAAAAAAACATTTAGATATAATAATCTAATATTATTATTGTTATATGTGCAACTGTTTTTAAAGTTGAAAAGAAAATATTCTATTTGAAATTTCCCCAATGACGGACGACATATAAAGGCCATCTATCATATCTTATTGTTCACATTTAGGCCCCACATGAATATAAGCCGCAGGTTTTCATGTAATGTAATGTAACACTTAAACAACAATGAATGGAACAAAACCTTGATGACACCTTATATACACCTGGATAAGACACCAATGTATCAATGTTTGTGCACGTTCACACTCATTAAAGATAAAGCATTTTTTAACAAAAGAAACGAGAATTTGTTAAGTTTAAGTGAACCAAACCAATAAGTGTAAAAGTGTCTTTAGATACTTCTAAAACCAAAAATATCAAACAGTTAAACAAAAATAAGGAGAAGCACCTCTTCAAGTCGTCTCCTCTGCGCCTCCAGCTCCATCTGTCTCACTTCCAGGTCTTGAATGGCTGTGTTCGTTTCCTTATCCCGAAGATCCATCTGTTATACATAACAGTGAATTACATTTTAATAATCAAAACAGCCCTTAGTGAATTTACTAAGCCCAGCCACATGAAACAAGCTTCTGTCCATCTAATTGTGCAGTTGACCCAGTACAAACTCAGGTGAGTTAATAGAGCACCACAGTGATTAAAAGTAGAAGATAAACACCATAAATTAGGGTCTAAATGACTCAGGGCTGGTGAAAAATCATAAAAAAGGTAGGGTATTTTTTGCATCACTGAGGTGGGTCAATTTTACCAGAGGATTGCACAAGACATAAAAGTAAAATGTCCTTTGTTATCCCTGGTATGTTTGTAGTTTATACATATTTATTTCCTTTGGTATATAGTTAAAACATGTGTTGATCACCCCCTGCTGGTGTTCACAAATACATTTCCTGTCTCTTTATCCATGAATGGTTTCATCTTCACCATTATTCACTCCAAATAATATTTTACAATCTGACATGCTCAGATTCTATGGACTGAACACAGTCTCATTACTAATTTAATGTTTGGACCGCGTTGCTGAGAGGACTGGGCGGCAGTCGAAGGCGGAGACCTCGGCGACCCAGTCCGCACACACAACATCTGGCTCTTGGGACGTGGAGCGTCACCTCACTGGGGGGGAAGGAGCCCGAGCTCGTGGGGGAGGTTGAGCGATACCGACTAGAGATAGTCGGCCTCACCTCCACACACAGCTTGGGCTCTGGGACCCAACTCCTTGAGAGGGGTTGGACGCTCCACTTTTCTGGTGTTTCCCACGGGGAGAGGCGGCGAGCTGGGGTGGCCATACTCATTGCCCCCCATCTCAGCCGCCACGTGTTGGAGTTCTCCCCGGTGAATGAGAGGGTCGCGTCCCTCCGCCTCCGGGTGGGGGACAAGTCTCTCATTGTTGTGACGGCCTACGGGCCTAACAGCAGTGCAGAGTACCCGGCCTTCTTGGAGTCCTTGGGAGGGGTACTGGAGGGTGCACCGCCCGGGGACTCCGTTATTCTCCTGGGGGACTTCAACGCCCATGTGGGAAACGCCAGTGACACTTGGAGAGGGGTGATCGGGAAGAACGGCCCCCCTGATCTGAACCCGAGCGGTGTTCAGTTGTTGGACTTCTGTGCCAGTCACAGTTTGTCCATCACGAACACCATGTTCGAGCACAAGGGTGTCCACCAGTGCACGTGGCACCAGGACACCCTAGGCCGGAGGTCGATGATCGACTTTGTTGTCGTATCATCTGACCTTCGACCGCATGTCTCGGACACTCAGGTAAAGAGAGGGGCGGAGCTGTCAACCGATCACCACCTGGTTGTGAGTTGGATCCGCTGGCAGGGGAAGAAGCCAAGCCAGGCAGACCCAAGCGTATAGTGAGGGTCTGCTGGGAACGTCTCGCTGAGCCCCCTGTCAGACGGACTTTCAACTCACACCTCCGGGAGAGCTTCTCTCCCAGGTCCCGGCGGAGGAGGGGGACATGGAGTCCGAGTGGACCATGTTCTCTGCCTGTATCGCCGATGCGGCGGCTCGTAGCTGTGGTCGCAAGGTCTCTGGTGCTGGTCCCGGCGGCAACCCCCGAACCCGGTGGTGGACACCGGCAGTAAGGGATGCCATCAGGCTGAAGAAGGAGTCCTATCGAGCAATGATGGTTCGGGGGACTCCTGAGGCAGCTGTCCAGTACCGGCAGGCCAAGCGTGCCGCGGCCCGGGCTGTTGCAGAGGCAAAAACCCGGGACTGGGAGGAGTTCGGAGAGTCCATGGAGCATGACTATCGATCGGCCTCGAAGAGATTCTGGCAAACTGTCCGGCGCCTCAGGAGGGGGAAGCAGTTCTTTGCCAACACCATGTACGGTGCGGGTGGAGAGCTGCTGACCTCGACTGGGGATATTGTCGGGCGGTGGAAGGAATACTTTGAGGTTCTCCTCAATCCCCCCGTCACGTCCTCTGTTACAGAGGCAGAGGCTGAGGATGTTGGGGCAGATACATCCATCTCCCTGGCTGAGGTCACCAAGGTGGTTGGTAGCCTCCATGGTGGGAAGGCTCCGGGTGTGGATGAGATCCGCCCTGATTATCTAAAGTCTCTGGATGTTGTAGGACTGTCTTGGCTGACACGTCTCTGCAGCATTGCGTGGCGATCGGGGACGGTGCCAATGGAGTGGCAGACCGGGGTGGTGGTCCCTCTCTACAAGAAGGGGGACCGGAGGGTGTGTTCCAATTATCGTGGGATCACACTCCTCAGCCTCCCCGGTAAGGTCTACTCCAAGGTACTGGAGAGGAGGCTACGGCATTGGGTAATGACCGGAAGAACAAGATCACGGATACAAGCGGAAGATAATGGATGGATGGATGGATGGATGTTTGGACCTTTCTAGAGATCTCCTGGTCCAGTTTTTCAATTTGCGAAGCCTTTTTTTCCTGTTGGTGTTTAAGAAATCGTCTCCTGGATGCATCGAGAAGTTGCAGTTCTTTCACTTTCAGCTCCCTCTTCATGGCGGCCAAACTGCACACACAAAAACCCACAATCCATCTCTGCTTCATCTACTAATAAGTGAAATGATCCGCTTTTACCGTTCCCTCTGCCGTGTCAGCTTTTCTTCCTCTTGTGAAAGTGTTTTTCTGCGCTCTGCTTCAGCCTTCTGTAGCAGCTCCTGAGATTAATTTCACACTTGTCATTTTACTGTCGAGTTAACTTTTCCATAATGCAAACTTTATTACTGACCTGTTGCGCGTAGTAAGTCTCTTGTTCAGCTTCTCGACGAACAAGTTCTGCATGCATGGTGGACAACTCCTGCCTGAGATGACAAAACAACCCATACACTCTTCATGCAGTAAAACACAATACGTTCCCTCACATTTTGAAAGATTTAGCACCTCTCACGCAAATACTCCATCTCTTCCAGTCGTATCTTCTCCCTTTCACGGCTCTGGTATTCAACTATGAATTCTGGGTACTGATTGAAGACTGGGTACTGTCCCTTTGTGAGTGGAGTGAATTCAGAAAGCATAGTCTTTGGATGAATGTCTACTGGGGTGGTACTCATCAAACGATACGCTTTCTTTATCATGACTCCCGCGTCCAAGTTGTTCCGATGATGAAAGAAATACTAAAATGTAAGATGCCGATAGTGTTAATGGAGTCTTTTTAAAAGGAAGGGTGTAAGGATAATGAGCGTGTTACCTCAAAGTCTTGTTTTTGTGAACATTGTAATAGAGGCTCTCGGCTGCATGTGATATAAGCAACACAGGTCATAAGCAGGAATGATGGATGATTGGTGAAAACGTTGTCAAAAAGTCGAAGCCACTCATCTCGAGTGAGGACCTCAGAGAACAGGGTTTCCAGCAAGGGCCAAACATACAGCTGTCAACATATCACCAAGTTTAAAATAGAAATGTGAGATGTCATATGAGATTTTAATATCAAAAGAATGATAAGAGATTACTGGACATGCAGAAGTCAAATGCAACACAAGAGACTTCTCAGGATCCTGGGGTTACCTGAGAGGTGACGCCACAGTCCACCAAGTGCTGCAGGAGTTCTTTGTCATGATGGGCCAAAACATTTTCTACCATGCTCAAAATATTAAGAGGAGGATTGGGGAAGTATTCAAACCAGTGCTGACACCAGTTTACTATAGAGATAAAAAAGTAACGTCAATGTTGGACTGTTAGTTAGCAAACTTAATGTAATAAATAATGTCTGGTAAACATACTTATAACCGTGGCGACCACCTCGAAGCAGAGCAAAGGATTGTTCTGAAAGAGCTTTACAAAAGGAAAGACCACAAGAGGGAGATACTCAACCTCTCCAAAAATGGCTGCCCAGTGAGCCATGGCAGACAAAACTCTGTAGAAAGCAGTGTTTAGATAATTGTAGCAGAATTTCCTAACAAACAATGTTTTAGCTTGTGGTAACCTTTGCAGTCCCTTCTGAAGTTTCTGGCTTTTGATGGGATATTTGTCATGCAGAGAGAGGTATGCCAAGTGAGGGCCTTTGTCAGACAGACTGCTGTACGCTGCAGAGTTTTCTGGCAGAAACAGCAAAGAACGCCACACAAACATCCTACAAAAATGAAATAATACCAGCAATATAATACAAGTTTTAGTTTCCTATTGTTAGAATAACCATGTTCACATCACCTATATTTAGCAGGATACTCTCCAAATGCTTTTAATAGAGCAACTAATCTCTTCCTGTTTAAACCAGCAGGCAATTCATTCTAAAAAGGACACATACAAATTTACTGCATGCAAAACTACAATATTATTTTTAGTTTTAAATTATGGCTGAGCCCTATACCTCCTTATCATCTGATGCACCTGTAGATCTTAGGATTTTTCCTTGTGTTCGTCGTACACCTGAAGATGCAGCTGGTTTTTGCACTGTTCCCAACTTGACTTTAACTTTTGGCACAGACTGGTCAAACAACTTGTCTTTGACCAAAACAACCTGGGAATTAGGAGTCTTGAAAAAAAAAAAAATTCAATAAAAAATGTATGAGTAAAATCCACAAAATATTCTGAATAAATGACTTATCTGAGTGGCACCTGATTTAATTCTTCTTTCAGACTCTGTAAACTATAGATATTGATGCCACCACTGTCCATGATGGCAACAAGATGTTTTCCATTGGGGCAAACGTGGACTGCAGTTAGGGCATGGTCAGGTGAGCCAATTTGAAACAGAAGTTTGCATGTGTGGATGTTGATGAAGCGCAATATGCCATCCTGGCTAAGAATACCCAGAGTCTAAAGAAAAAGAAATAGGTGTTACTAAAGCCAAAAATTGTGCTTCTGAAATATTTACAAAACTTTTTCTTTCACCTGGTTGTCTCCACTGTCAAAAGGGTCAGGTATGAACTCAAGCTGTCTGATTGTTCTGACTTGTGAAGGCATTTGAATCACTCTGATGAGCTCTTTATTTTCCAAACACCAAAGATGCAGCAGATTGCAGCGGCCGCCAGATACAAGGTTCTTCCCATCTCTGACATAAAGAGTGGACAGTCAGAATGTAAAAAATGTATCAAAGGATGCATTCACACTTTGAGTGCACTGATTACAAGTCACCTCAGTCAGTTCACTGCTTTTGAAACAGACAAAATTACAGTTTCATTAGCTTCTGAACTGGGGACTGCAGATGGAAATTAGCTGTGTAGCTATAATCTGGTGCAGAACAAACTGTCTTTGAGTCTAATGTTGCTGTACACTGTCCCTTTTAAATAAAGACTAAAATAAAACTAATGGATTCTACGTCATGGTGCTACGTCCCTTAGGACTTCGCTAGTGGGATATCACTCGTGACCCCCAGGTCACACGCCAGAGAGATCAAAATAATTTGCTCCAATCACCAGCCACCGTCCTCTATAAATGCCCCTGCACAAGGCCGCACCCCCTCTTTCACTCTGGCGCCGTTTGAGATCTACCACAGTACTTACTTCATTCTGAGATGTCTTCCTTGTTCGTCCGAGTTCCCTTCGCCCTCATAATAATACACCCTTATTTTGGGTTCAACAATGACCTCCAGTGGTCAAATAAACCCTACCTTTATTTTTACCAGTAGGTAAAATGAACCCTACCTTGTGACAGCAAAGGCCTTGTATGAGATCTGAGGTCCACAATCTGGGACAGGCAATTGGTACTTGCAGAACATTGTATCACTTTCCCAAGCAAAGATGGAGTTATCACTGAAGCAGCTGAGTATAGTGTTACTATGTGGAAGGAAAAACACCTAAAAGGAAGCAGTAATGTAGTTTAAAAATTGAAATATAGAAGAATCATTTTAACTTCATATCACATATAACAGATTTATGTACCCAATAAATTAATACGTAATGCAAATGTATTTGAGCATATTTACCCTTTGTATGCCAACAGACTGTTGAATATTGAGCTTTCTTTTTCTTTGAAAAGTGTCCAGGTCCCAAATCTGAGCAGTGTCTGAGGAGGTAGTGATGGCATATCTGCCCGAACTGTGAACAGACATGGATGAAACTGCTCCCTCATGGCCACGCATCCAACTAACTAGCTGCTTTGTGTCTGTCCAAAAAATACAGATGAAAATAAAACAAACTTAATTGAGAGGCTCTTGAAAATACATGTATAACATATGGATAGAGCTTTTTGTTTCATGACACATCAAATTCACTCCACCTTTATCAAAACATTTGATAGTGTAATCTGCTAAAGCCACAAGGAACTCTGATGTTCGGCGAAGTGTAAATGCCAGAGCAGTGCAGGCTTGCCCGGTTTTCTGCACCAGTCGAAATCTGCCCCAACACATGGAAACATAATTAGATATTACCCAGTTGTTTATAAAACCATGCCAGATGAATCATATATTTGTGATCATTGATCAAAAGCAGGTATTAATTGTTCACCTGTTTCTGGATATGTCAAACAGATAGATGTTTCCATGATGGTCGCCAGCAATGAAGGACTCTCCTGTGGTGTCAAAGGCAACATGGAGAAAGCGCACAGTCTTGCCTTGTTGTGCAGTGCGAATCACTGTCACTATCGGCCTGACCAGACCAAAAGCAAAAATAAACAATTGTTTTATTGTGTGCCATGTTTGCAATAAAATCACATAGCAGCGTGAAACTGAAGAACATCTTAAAAAAATAGATTTCATACCAGACATAGATACAAAGTAATGCAACAAATAGCCCTCTTAATTTTTTTATCATTATGTTTATATTATTATGGTTTGTTAAATATTTAATAATTTAGGGGAGAGGGGCAGTTCGATTCCATGGCGTTTGACAGCAATTAACGTTATATTTACACTATATATATTTTACAACTCAGATCAAGAGAATAGACATGTACCACAAGTGTCCTCATTTAAAAGTTACAGTGCATCAAAGTGGACCTTTAATGCTAACTATCATCTGCAGATCAACAGGTGGGGAAACTTTAAATATACAAACAAGCGTACCCGGACAAAGTAAAATGGCACTAGGCAACGGTAGTAATATACCAACACAATAAGATATGTTGCGTCAATACACAAAATATGGTTACTTTTAATGCTCACCCTTTTCGAGGTATTGCTGTTCGATGCCAGATTTTCCCAGCTTCCTTATTCCCAATATCTGTCACTTGCATTGTAACAAAAGCGTTTAATGCCTATGTCCTTTATTATATTTTATCTTGTTAGAGCCTGGTTAGAGCACAAAAACATTGTTGTGCTAAATGCTAATAGAGCTAACCAGACTGCAGCACGCTCTGCAGGCGGGGCAAACAGCGCCAAGTTTGAAAAAGAGCTGTTTTTTCACTGTTCGAGATTACTGTCTATTCTTCGAGAGGATCAACTCATTCCGTCTAAATACATTGTGATATGCACTTCTGTGTCATTATCTTGTTTGCTGAAATAAAACAAATCACAAATGTTCTTTAGGAGGACGTTGCCAGGTCAGCGACGATGACAACACGAGCACCCACCCGAACAAACCAACGCTGGTTTAAAATGTTAGGTGTTTTATTTATTTATGTTTTATTATTCTTAAACAAGATTCGAATAAAAATGTTTGATTTTACTCCTTTTTTTAACTCTATTTTTTTTTCTTCTTTTTTCCCCAAATTTTTATTATTTTCAATTTACAACAATCGTCAAAGCAAAACAACAAAATACAATATATAGAATACAAATAAATTAATAAACCAAAAAGTTAATTTAGTTCGTGTCAGGGGGTTTCATTGAAGAAGTCTTTGTTACAGTCTTGGAGTAGTTTGCTTTTCTTATTCATTACATACTGCAATGAGTTCATCACTTAAAAATAGGTGGAAATACAACTGTGATTTCAATTTTTTTTGCTTGTGAATAAAAATATGCTGTTTTTATCATACGCATTCAGAAGTAAAATGAAAATACGTATGATAAGGCTGTTGCTTCTATTTTCACAATAAATTGCTGAGGTCAAATATTTGTAAATAATGCCAAGAGAAACATATATTTAGCTATAGTCTATGATATTTACTTGATGAAAGAGCGATGTATTAGAGTCAATGTTGCGTTACGTTAGAGAACAACAGACATGTTATAAAGTGGAGGGGGAGGGGGGTTAAGGATGATTTTACTGTGAAAGGCTTACAGGATTCATTCTAATGTTTTTAGTAACGTTGTGGGTGACGTTTTAGCTAGTCGGTTAGCCACGTCATGTAAACTAGCCGAGAAGCACTTCTGATTAGCTAGAAAACACTGTACAATAGGGTTTACTATCGATTTTCTCGTTAATAGACAGTACTTTGAGGATATACATTTGCCTGTGTTCGTACGGAAAGATGTCAGAAATCGGGGACTGGTTCAGAACCATCCCTTTAATCACCCGGTCATGGTTTGCAGGGTCTATCGTCGTTCCCCTCATTGGAAAACTGGGCTTAATTAATCCTATGAACCTCGTACTGGCGCCACAGTTATTTTTTAACAAATTCCACGTAAGTTTGATTTGATTTGCACCATTACAAAAGTAAAATATGTTTTATAAATGTGTTTTTTGGATGTTTGTTGTAGTTAGCAGGTGGCTAACATCTCGAGTTCCTTAGGGCCTTTGCTCGTAAACCAATGGGCGAACGCGACGTATGCATGAACTTCCGGATGCTGTCAAAAACATGTCTCAAATGCTAGCACTTTTGTCCTATTTTTCTGTTCTTGTCATATACAGTCTATGTTTCTTGTCTAAAGATTGTTACATTTGCGATAATTATATTAGGCAGTTAAATAGTGTATATAAATAGTGTAGTCTTTAGTATCTAGACTTACTAGACAAAATATACATTATTATCCCATAGCTCCAGGTTTCCTTTCCCCCCCCAAACAATGCATGATCTTATTGTAGTTTTAACTTATACAATACATTCAAATAATTGGTATGCCTCAATTATATCAGTAATTAAATCCTTGTTCTTATTTGAAATTTAACGTATAATTTAAATTATAATTTTAAAGAAGAACTATAATGAATGTCTTTTGGCCATTCGAAATGATAACGGGACCTTTTGCTTTGTCATTTCATGATTTAGAATGTGAAATTGATAATATCTTAACCTAAAAATATAGTATTCTCGTCAGCTTCTGAACCTCAGGCGCCCAATGCTCGGATTTCCTGACGTTTTGAATTAAACTGCATCAGGTGGATTTTCTGTTGTTCTGATCAATGGCCCACTTTTGTAAAATCAACAATGTCAAAAATTCTCCTTTTTCTGACTGTATTTTTGAGGGTGTGTTGTATGTGTTTGTTGAGTGACCCCTGCTGGTATAGACCGGGTCCATTCCTGGTTCAGACAAAGGGGTTCAGGATATGCTGAGACAGAGACCGTGTGCACCAAACAAAGTTTGTCAGACTGCTTCTGTCTTCTAATATATGACACCAGTATTTAAGATCATAGTGAACCTACATTTGAAAAATTATATTGGTCTCAAGCTATCCATCCATCCATTTTCTTCCCCTTAATCCATTTCTGGGTCGGGGGGGTGGCAGTCAGAGCTACACCCAGTACACAAAGCACCAGCCCCTCACTGATACTCCTGCAGGTGGTGAGTCCACAGGAGCTGAGATCTTTCAGTGGGGGCTTCAGGCAAAGTGGGGTTAAGTGTCTTGCCCAAGGACACAACGACAGCAGTCATCAGTGGGAGTCGTGAAGTAGGTCTTATGATGGGCTCGAACCCATGACCTTCAGGCTCTAAGGCCAATGCTCTACCAACTGAGCCACTGTCGACCCAGGTCTCAAGCTATTCAAACCTTTTTTTTGTGTGTGAAGTGATGGTGACCATCAACGATAAAAATGTGATCCTCCTGTAGCTCCCAAAACTTCCACATGACAAGTTTAATTTCGTAATTTTCTTGAATTAAAACATTTTCGCAAACACAATCATGCGATTGTTAAAAAACAAATACTTAGATTTTGAATGGCAGAAACCTGCATGATGTAACAGCGCCACAATTATGTGATATTACATGTTTGAGGTAGCAGCATTTAAACAAAGGGTGCCAGAAGTTTGAATCTAGAAATATTTTAAAGATTTTATTGTTAAAAAATATGAATTCCCCTAAATAAAAAACTTCTCTCAATTTTGTCATTATAATTATTGAGATTATACATTTCAAATATTTCATATTTTACTAAGACAACATATGAAATACGCAAGTGAAACTGTAGTACAATAAATGGCTGTTTTCTTTACTTGGATGTATTTTCTGTTGCAGTTATGGAGACCTGTAACCTCAACCCTGTACTTTCCAATCTACCCAAACACAGGATTTCTTTACTTGGTCAATCTCTATTTCCTCTACCATTACTCCACAAGGCTTGAGACAGGTAAGGATGCATGTATTCAATAGACATTTGTTAGAGGGGTTTTCATAAAGCTTAATTAAATATGAAGCAGACTGCTGTTGCAATTAGGCAGTTTTTTAAAGGATGGGACTAATCCAAATATTTGTTTAGCAGTATTAATTGGCGGATGACCTGTGGGTTTGTGTCATATTTATATTTCTCTTTCTACAGGGGCATTTGATGGCAGACCTGCAGACTATGTCTTCATGCTCACATTCAACTGGCTCTGCATTGTTGTATCCTGAATCATTTTATGAACATCTATATTGCTTTACAGCCCTCGTTCACAGTAACACATATTTTACCTATTCCATTTTGCTTCTTATTTGGTCTTTGTGCTATCGCTTTTTCCATTCACGCATCTTTTGTGCACCACTCCTACTGCAGCATTGTGCCATGTCAGGGTGGCTCTGTTCCAGTGGCCCGTGTCGGTCTACCCTGCAGAGGGAGGAAACATAATCTAGGTCATATGCGGCAAAGAGGGGGAGCCCATCTTCCTTGTTTTGTCAGTATAATAATCTTTGATAATGGCAAACAATGCCGTTGTATTTAATCTGTTCTACCTTTCATCTGAAGTCTTTAGTTACTCTCCTATTGAGACAAAGTATGTAAAGAAGCAAGTACCAATTCATTATTTAACATGTTTTGTCTGTATAAATTAAGCTTCTGTATTGTGTGTATATCTATAGGCAAACAGCTTAGATGGACACATTGTTCAAGTTCATGTAAGGTAAACTGGGGCGATGGGTTCATAAGGTTTGTTTATACGATTAAGGCACAAGGTGGCAGCTCTGAGTCAAGATTTTCTGTTATTGTACTGTCCTTGACTCTAGCTGTAGATAGTTGGTCTGCTCATGGACATGCAGGTGAGACCGAATTCGCACATTAAAGTATTATGTCAACTTGTTACTTCCAGCACTCATAATAAAGTGTATTGTTCTTTCAGCTGCTGATGATCCCACTCATCATGTCTGTGCTGTATGTATGGGCTCAGTTCAACAAGGACACCATTGTATCTTTCTGGTTTGGAACACGGTTTAAGGTGAATTTAAATATTTTTCTGCAGGTCAGACTTAGCCCCTTTTTATAAAGAATATTTGACATTCTCAAAATGTTCTCTTGTTTTTATATAGGCCCACTATCTTCCATGGGTTATTCTGGGTTTCAATTTTATCATTGGTGGCTCGTAAGTTGTTTTTTGAGTTATCAATGCAAATACAGCTAGAGTTCTGATTTGATCTTTTAACTTGCAGTTTTCTGAATGAGCTGATTGGAAACCTCGTGGGCCATCTGTACTACTTCCTTATGTTTAAGTACCCCATAGACCTTGGTGGTCGTGCCTTCCTCTCTACACCAGAATTTCTGTAAGCAAAAAGTGTATCTAAGGTACTTTCATGTTTTGAGATTGTTTGACTCCATTGTTACACCTTCGTGTTGTTTCAGGTATAGACTTTTCCCAAACAGGAGAGGAGGAGTGTCGGGCTTTGGAGCACCACCCACCAGAAGAGCAGCTCCACAGGAACAGGCTGGGTTTGGGATGGGGCGATACAATTGGGGCCAAGGATTTCGTCTTGGTGGTGAATGAGCCAGACCCCACAAAATACTGTTAACGTTTTAACATCGAATGATTTGAATGCTTCTTCATACAGAAGCTTGTTAGGTTCACTTGTGAGTGTGTTTTTTTCCCCCCCACTGGTATCATGTTATTTCATGATACACAACTATCATGTTATTTCATGATACCAATTTATCATGTTATTTCATGATACCAATTTATCATGTTATTTCATGATACCAATTTATCATGTTATTTCATGATACCAATTTATCATGTTATTTCATGATACCAATTTATCATGAAATTTCATGATACTGTAGATACAGAAGAAGAAGCTGTCAGCTTCTGATAAATTGGTATCATGAAATAACATGATAGTTGTGTATCATGAAATAACATGATAGTTGTGTATCATGAAATAACATGATAGTTGTGTATCATGAAATAACATGATAGTTGTGTATCATGAAATAACATGATAGTTGTGTATCATGAAATAGCATGATAGTTGTGTATCATGAAATAACATGATAGTTGTGTATCATGAAATAACATGATAGTTGTGTATCATGAAATAACATGATAGTTATGTTATTTCATGAAAGTATCATGAAATAACATGATACCAGCGGGGAAAAAAACACTCACAAGTGAACCTAACAAGCTTCCGTATCTTCACAAGTAACATAAAACATCTTTTTTAGTTTGACAAGAAAATCCTCTAAAACGCAGCAGAGAGTAGTACAGCTTCACTAAATGTGAGGGGGAAAGATGGGGTGAAAAAAACGGCTGTGGAAATGCCACAGAGAAAAAGGATATAGTTGAATTGATATGCCTCACTTTTGTCTTGATCCTGCCCATTACTGATCCTTTTACAAGTTGGTGAAAGATGGATAGTCTCTTTTCTGTATTGTAAATCTCTTCTAAAATGTCATTTTTTACATTGTCATACTATTGTATAAGAAAGATATTCTGCCAATTCAGTACAGATAGACATTGTGACAAGGTTTGTACATTGGTGTGAAGTTTTAAAGCTGCTGTGGCACAGATTTCCTGTCTTATTCAATTCTGTAGTGATGAAACCTTTTGTAAATATTACAGTTTATTGAAAACATATCCAGACCCTGTTTTTTATCGACTTTTGTCTCACAAGGACAAATCACCAGTCACTTATATAAGACATGTCTCCAAAACAGCTGGAAGTGTTTTTATTCAGTTGAAGCAGAGTAATTGTAGAACATGAAACTTAAGCTATGCCATCAACAAACATTCAGCAAGAACAGTTGTACACCTGCTTTAGCGAAAAATAATGGAGCATATCGTGTTTATGATGAAAACTCTCTGGGAAAATATTCCACAAAGTGGCTTACTTCAATATTATGTGAATGTTTGATTTTTTTTTGTCACTTTCGCTCCATACAAGAGGGGGACCCATGTGTGGCTCATTTCACTATGGACATAAGAGCTAGTTTGAAGCAAAATGACAGAAAAACAGGAAACACTACTTATTTTAACAATCTAAGCGCTATTGCCATATTTGAAAATATAGGAAGAGAAATATGTGAAATAAAGACCCTATCAGTTAAATGCTTCCTAAACATTTGTTCAGCAAAGAAAACTTTGATTCAATGAAAGTGATAAACCATTAAGATTGTTGAGGGAGTGAGACATGTCAGGTGAAAGCTCCAAAGGCAGCGTGGTATAACAAAACGCAAATAATAAATGCATATTGTTAAATGCATATTGGATACTGAGGCAAAACTTTTTCATAGAAGACATCAGACATACAGTGCTTTCATTCCTTGGTCTGTGCTAATGCGGCTCGATTTACCCAGAGCTACAAACCCTCAGTAAAGCTGTGGCTGTTTCTCCAAACACTCTAATTGCACTTCTAACACTTTCCAGTGTAAGTGATTTTCACTCTCACTAGCATAATATTACGAGGCCAAGTCAATAAGAAGCTGCAGAAATAAGGAAAGGTTTAGTTTCCAAATGGCTGGTACAGTTAAGCTGAAAATGCCAAACGTTACTTACTCTATTACAATGACAGGAATATGTACACTAAGTGCCATTGGAGATTAAACCAAATAATAATTTTCAAAAAATATGTTTTTTTCATTATATATACACTTTGACCATAAAACAATAACATCAATATTGGGGTTGTATAAACTGATAACCAAAAGTGTTTTTTTTTGTAAAACTGTACAAACACTTCTTATTAGAAAAAAATATTTACAATGGTGCTTCAAAAACACAGAACAATGCATCAAGTCCAGCTTTGGCACTCCTCCCATGTCCATTTATGTGTCACACTTTAGTGCATTTCAGTGCAAATCTCGGGTCAATGGTTCTTCTGAATGAGATCTCAGCAAGACTGAGTCTACACTTTTACCATCTACTTTTTTCCCATGAGGATCAGAAAAACATCTACCATCTCTGAAACGACATGAAAGAGAAGATTTTGGACAAGATTAGCAAAAGTCTAGTACACACGTGTGAGCATGTTAATGATCATGTGGTCAATACTAGCTCAGCTCTGAAGAGTGTTAATTACACAGCGTAACGTCCTGGGTGAAAGTGGCGGCAGCTGTGGCATCTTTACAGACCCAGGTTCCCTCCCACTTTTTTAGTTGCCCTCCATATTTTATTCTTAACAGCATATTGCTGATTTAAAAGACGTAACAAGAGGCTAAGTAGAGATAAGTTCAACTTTGTGGGTGGGTAAGCTTCAGTAATGTTAAGTTCAGCTAAATTAAATATTTGTTTGAATTAATATGTACTTACATCAGCCTGTGACCCTGCCTGGTTCCAAAGCAAGAACATCATTGTCTGTGTCCTTTGTAGCTGCTTGGGGGTCCTCTCCCACCGTAACAGTCACCTTTACACACCTGAAACACCCAGTCAATCAGAGTGCTTTCACGCTAACACTGAGACCAATCCTACGACTGAAGTGACCCCAGAAATCCCTTTAATTATAAAGTAATGACAGAACAAGGACAAGTTTGTTAGACTGGAGTGGAGACCACTTACCTTCCACTGTCAGCAGATTTATCACTGGATTTGTCTGTTCTCTGTCTCAAGTCATTTAGTCCGAGATCCATCTTTTCTGGTCCCCACTGCGTAGTGTCTTGGTCAAACTGCTTTGTGTACTCTGTCATTTTCACACCAGTATTTTCTTCTGCAATTCAAGCAATGCAGTTTAAGAAGAAGTAATGCAAATCGGGAAATTTCGATACAGTATCAGCAAACTCAGTCAGACTTGACTTTTATACCTTTTGCCGATAGGTTGTCTATAGAAATACATTTTGGTTTCTCTGACAGTGCAACTTCTTTGTTTGCATCCAGCTGATCCTCCATCCAATCGAGTGATTCTCCATTCTTTAATGCGGATCGATGGTCCTTGAACCAGCGCACAATGTCTGTGCGTCCCAGACTAGTTTGGACCTCGAGCTGACTGTACTCTTCTGGAGACGGCCACTGTGTCCGGCAGAACATCTGTGGTCAAATAAAGGGTCAATAGGATTTTCTAAGATAAAAAAAAAAACGTATTTAAATCACAAAGACTGCCATTATTTAAGTTCTTTGCGAACTAATAAGGGACAATAAATAAGCAAATCAAGATAAAAAATCTCTTGATTTGCCAATGGAACACGCAAATTATTTTCTGATTTATTTTCTCAAAATTAGACTTCATATAACAAAAAAAACAGGATACTCAAAATTTCAGTGTTGGTCAGAAATATTGCAAATCGCGCATATTCTACCAAAATTGTGCAGGCATAGAAACATGAGCATACCAGTGTAATAGCATATACATAATAAAAACCTCTTTCTCTGCTGTTGTGCACTTTTTGTACCTCTCTGAGCAGAGCGAGGGAGCGGCTGGCGATGGGCGCAGGGCTGTTGGATGCAGAGAGTACGGGGGGATGGGGTGATGAAGAGGAGGAGGAGGAGAGGATGGGAGGAGAGGCGGAGGACGTGAGAGTGGGTGGATGTGGGGAGGCTGCAGCCAGTACTGGAGGAGACGCGGAGGAATAGGACAGAACCGGGGGGTGAGGGGGGGAGAGGCGATGCTTCCTGTCCTGTTCACAATGCGCAGCTCCGTTCTGCATTGCCCCCGGACGTTCCTCCGCACTCTTCATGCTGCGCAGAGCCTTCTCCAGAGCACTGCGCTCAGAAAACCAGCAGTCCACCTCGGTTTTGGAGAGACGGGTGTCCTGAGCAAGTTGGTCTGCAGAGAGAAGAGAGAGAGAGAAATGGCTTCAAAATATAAACAAAGATGTCGAACGGTCAATGTATAGTCACTCTAGGGGGTGGGACAACAGGCTCATTAAAAACATTCTTGCAATTTCTGTCAGCCGACAACCCAAGAGAGTGCACCTCCACTGGGGTGAGGAAAATTAAGTCACACTGAGAAGACTACCTTTCCAGCTGATCTGCACAAGAACATTTATTAGCAAACTGCGAACAAGCCGATTGGTGATGCACAAAATCACTTGTGACAAACAGGCCACAAAAATTACAATATATAAATAATGATGACTTGATAATGAAAGATGGATCACATACAGCACATTAAAACATGATGAGATTACTCTGCTGAGTTTTTGTCAGTCACATAAAGTACTTTAAAAAAACATATAACATAGTATTTTCCTTTGCAAAATATCCATTGAAATGTGTTATTGTGACAGGTCTATTGACTGAAGGGGAGTGCTAAGAGAAAACATGGTACAGTATGGTGTGTAAGTTTACCTAGCTCTGGCTCCGTTGGACTGCTGCTCTTTTGGAAGCTCTCTTCTAGAGCCTTCAGCTGCTCAGAGCTCTTGCCCTTGACTCTCTCCAATAGCGGAAACTGACTCGGCACAGTCTTTTTAACTAGACCGTCTTTAGGAGGATTATTGACTTCTGCTTTGACAAGCACAGGTGGGGGAGGAACACCTTAAAGATACACAGAACCTTTATGAAACATACAGAAGCCGTCTGCCACAAATGTAAAGTCACTTTACAAAAGCCACATCCAAGATTTTAATTATTCATGGCATTTGTTAAGTCACCTTTGAGATTGAGAAGTCTCTGCTCACTGAACCACTTCTTTATTTCTCCACGAGATAGCCCTGTGTTTTCTATCAGTCTGTAAATCTAGAACATAGAAATGATAATAGTCTTATGTTCCAAACCACGATGTTGGAAAGTGATAACAAACCTACCTCATCTTCTTCAGGAAAGGGGCACTGTGTGTAACTGGCCCTCAACACAGACAGCTGCTCTGCAGTTTTGTTTGGGTCCATGGTGAAGCTCAGGACTTTGGATGAAGACAGTTTGGGTGAGAGCACAGGGGTAGAAATAGTTTGAATTATCGACGGCCGTTTGCTCTCTGTGGAAACCACAGGGGAGGCCAGGGGTCTTTTGAGTGATTGTGCAACCTGCAAAACAAAACAACTATTACCTCCTGCCTTTCCTTTAACATAATTTAAAAGACATTTGTAAATTAAATAAACATAACATAATCCTATGAACATTGCGATCTACTTTATTTTGTTTGCCTGCAAACTGTATTTGAAAATGTAAGAGAAATTGTAGTAGGGACTGGCTGGTCAGGCATTTAGTTTGTGTCATAATAAGCTTTAAATGTGGAATATTTTTAGTATGAGGTTGGTGTAAATGAAAAGAACTCTCTTGTGTTTGGTGTACCTGGTTGGCCACAGACAAAGCCAGCGGGGCACAGGTGACAGCAGAACCGTTTGCCACAGGAGTCAGCACCAGGCTGGTCTGAGCCAGGAGATGACAGGGCAGCTGCTGGAGCAGAGAAGCTGCAGACGGACTGGGTTTGGAGGCCGAATTGGAAGAGCTAGACGATGTTTGTGAGTTGACCTGAGGGGCCACTACAGCAAACGTTTGAGAAATGGTACCATTAAACATTTTCTTTCTGGCTTCTTCAACCTGATATAAAATAAAAGCATGTTTAGTTTTTACAGTAGTAATATTAGTAATTAAAAGTAATTACTATTACGGGTTATTTACCTCTTCTGGCGACCAACTGATACCCTGTTTTAGCCGTTGTGTGGTGAACCAAACTTTGATTTGCTCCTCTGGGTGTTTGGAGGCCGCAGTGAGCCATGACAGCTCAGCCTGGGTTGGGTAAGGAAATTTATTAAAGGAGGAGATGAGGGTCAAATTATCATCGAGGGATGGGTTATATTTGGTCGTGTTCAACGGCACTGCGATTTTGGGCACCTGAAACATGCAACAAACAAAACAGGTCAGTTATATATAAAATTGTCAACTATTATTGTAACTATTTTCATATTATAACAATCAACTTTGTTCTGATATCTCTATTTTTATTTCTGAATTACTGTTACTGTTCTGAAACATCACACTCTCTTTCTCCCTCATAGTCCATACAGCCCCACAATAACAAACCTGTGTGTAGTTGAGAGGCCGCTGAAGTGAAGGCATGATGTGAGCAAGGCTGTCCGCTTTGAGGAGCGTTGATTCTGGGATAATGACTGTCCCGTTCACATTCAGTGCGGTGATTGGCTTCTTGACCAACTCGGGGGCAAGTTTACCCAATGCTCCGTCTGTCCATTTACCATCCAAGGACATTATTTTTGGTTTGCTGATTTTTACTGCAGTGGATTTATTCCCAGGAAAACCACTTTGTTCCTCTACTTTACCAGAAACAGAGCTAGAAGAGTTGTAAATAACGGCATTATTACTGCATCCCTCTATTGTCTGTTCCAAGATTGTCTGATTATTCATTTTGATGCGCTTGAATTTAAAGTTGCTCTCGCCGGGGTGGCACCTCTCATTGTGTTCGGTTAAGGTGTCAAACTTCTTGGTGTTAAAATTGCAGACAGCGCACAGATACAAAGGGTTCAGGATGACGTTGGGGTGGTTTGCATCGACATGTTCTTTGAAAGTGTTCAGGTTATGGGTGGAAAAGGAGCAGTATTTGCACTCGTAGCCTCCTTGTTGCTTGTGTTGGGACTTGGTATGATGGGATGGTGTTGTGGTGAGTTCGGTTGATGACTGGGAGTCTGATGCCTTGTCTAGTAGGTCCAAATCCAATGACAGGTCTTTCTGGGGTGAGACATCAGTTTCCATTGGAGTTGCATCTTTATGGTTATTAATGCTTGCCTAAAAAACGATTAACCACATGGTTAACGAATACAATAAAATTACACAGACATAATCCATAGATTTGGTAGAATACCTGTAAATTATATGGCTCCTCTGTCTCATCATCGTCATCTGGCTCCACTATGGTGCGGTCTGCTCGGATCATACAGGGTGTAGAAGCCTTCCGTCGACTGGCCATGATGATAGCTTATCCCAAATGTTGTGCTTAAAGTTAAGGTGCTGGACTTTTTCCGCCTCAATGTCTGTGTGAGGGGTAAAATGTCTTGTGGAGGGTGCTGAAACTGATGAGATATCCAGTCTGAAAGGAAGGACTAGGTCTCGGTCAGGACCCCACAGTTGGTGAACTTGTCCCCTCAGCTGTGGGATATGAAGGTCCAGTGGAGAGAGGAGAGTTATGGCTCGCTGACTATGTCAGCTCCAACACCTGGACGATCTCCTGCATGACTTGTATAGATCTAAACAGAGAAAACACTCACATCAATAATCAGATCTGATAAACAAATAAATGACTTGTTCTTGTGTGACTTCTAATAGCTTATTTCACTTTCAGTGAAGGAAGAAGAAAACTGCAATTTTATTTTGTTGTTTTCTTTTTCCTAAAAATGATTCTGACAGAGATTTGTAAGAAAGCTTCAGACAGCACAGAAAAGAAATTACAAACATTACAGGGTCATCATCTCAAAAAACAATTCAGAATCTAATGTGAGAGTCAAGGCTATTTCTAAAACATGATACCACGAGGAAAATAAATATTTATATTTGTAAGCAAATGAAATAATAAGTAACTAATATTTCCCATGCCAAAAAAAAGTATTATTTGTGTGATAAAACATTTGGAGGAGCTCCTTATCATCTCACCAGTGTTCTGAACAGACACATGGAGCGGCCAAGGGGACGCAACAACATTGTTAAAATGCAGACTCATTACTGTGAAGTCGCTATAGCAACTACGGCTATCTAGCTGTGGAGAAACACCCAACCACAGAAGAGAGTCATGAGCTCAGACAAGGAGACAAAAGATAATTAGAGAGCGTCACAATGTCCACATTACTGTATGTGTATTATGGCCGACTTTAAGCAGGGGTACCCAATGTTCAAACCACAAAAAAGTTCAAAATATTGGAAAAATCCATCTAACTAGTTCCAATCACTCACAAAACAGTTTGACTCTATCACTAGTTTTCACATGTATTTACTTTTGGCCTCGGTCTTATCTTTAGCTCAGTCAACTATCAGCTATCAGCCTGAAGCATTAAACAAATTCTCTCAAGGCTCATTTTTAGAAATTTGCAAAATACACCTTAATTCTAATAAGATGTTGTGTTCTAATTTGTTTACAAAAGGGCGCATCGAAAATCAAACATACCATACATTGAAATACACACACAGCAGCTAAAACATTGCTTAGCAGAAATGATATTGCTCGCACTCACACTCTGCCTTCCCTAATTTCAACAACAATTCCGAAACCACAACGGAAAACATGCTGACTCCATCTGAAATACACTTGAGTTTATATGACCTACTGAACTCCCACTGCCCCTTTGCACTTACAGCCTAATAGTCCTCATCAATGCCACTGTGGGCGATAGTGGCACCATGATGAGAGGAGGAGGGTTGAACCAACACAGAAAGCAGATAAACGTTTAATTTGTGCAGAGTATGTTCGCCAGCTGTAACACTGCATATTTTAAATGCTAAGCAGTGACCATGAAAACGACTCTGATTTATATGAATTTTAATATAAACCACTGACTGTAACCTAGCGTGGGCAGGCATAATGAGTCATGTGGTCAAAACATTCAAAACATTGCCAACGCGAGAAGTTGACTCACAATGAAAGACTGGTCATGTAAACACTAACTGCTGGTCGCATACACACGTCTCTTTCTCAGAGCGCCTCAAACAAAGTCAGACACTGCGTAAATACTTCTGATTGCACGAGATCCTCTGGCACAAGTTTTTCCTCTTTAAACATGTTTGAGGATGACAGAGCCGTGTAAAGACCCTTCCATGACACTGGGTTATTTATTTATGGGGATTCTGGGGTTTAAGCACTATGCAGTGTTGTTGATGCTCTCTGGTTGCTCTGTGTGACTGACAAAAAAATCTTGAGCACACAGTATTCAAGATTGTCAGATTCTCACCTGCTTAAGAAAGGCCTACAAACTCTAGTGCATTGTGTTTGTTTCTGATGGACTGGCAAAATGAACAACATGTGCACTAAGCCAATAGAGGAGTACTGTAAATAAAAATATGTTTAGGTCACTATCCATTAAAAAAATAGATGCAATATTCTTTTGATATATTGATATTTCGTAATCGTCTTAGACCCACACATTGCAAAAAGAAGCACAAGGAAAAGAATTGTAACAATCTTCAAAAAAATGGAACAATAATATTGTATCTTTATCTAAATATTTTTATATTAAAATGGGGCATAGCACTTGATATGGGACCAAAAGTCTTAGTTTTTAATGAATTGTATAGAATATGTTGTATTTAGGGCCGTAACAAGTAACGTAATGGATTAATTGCAACTAATCAATTATTGAAATAGTTCTTCTTTTTGGACCTTACATAGCCTTAAACATTCTGAGAAGAGACTTCATGACTCAGACAATTCTATAATGACTGCAGAAGGAAATTACATGCTATGTGTATATGTTTACAACATAATTTGAATCAAACAATGTCATCTCTATGAATATGTTCACCAGGGGAAACACTTGAGATTTGTTTTTGGGCCAATGTATAAAAAGTATTCACTGACCTTTCCAAACAACAAATTGATAATTGATTAGATAATCAGACAACTAATTGAGGCCCCAATGTGTACTCTTCCCTTTCTGACAATTTTTATTTCTTTTGTCTGTCATATACCCACAAACACCTTGTCATTTCTGAAATTTCCTACTCTTTGATAATACATTTGAATAAATGGAGGCCTACGCCTCCAAAGCACAGACTGCTTTGGTCCCCTCCTCTAGTCTCCCACTGTCTGATGCTCATTAAACTTGCATGAATACTCAGCCTGGCATCCTTTGCCAGCCTGTCTGTCTGTACTTGCCTAATGTCTGCCCGTCTGATTAGGGCATCATATTACTGGAGCCTTTCCTCTGAAAAAGTTGCTGTAAATGCACTAACACATTCATCAGCTATAATCACTTTAGGCTGCTCTCTGCCAAACATACACGAAAGGGAAAATCTATCTAATTTTGTCAACTACAGAGGCTTTAATCTATAAATATAGATTACGTAACAGAACGAGGCAAAATTGTCCACTATATATTGGGCTGAGGAAAGCATCATTCTGTCTGCCATAAAAAGACATGGACGGTACAAACATGAATATTTTCTGCAGTTGTATCACTATCCAAGTGACATTCATTAGACACAAACTAACAAGTTTATATTTTGACTAAACCTTTTAATTTCTGGTGTTTGGTTGGACTTTGACCTATAACACAATCCTCTTGACTAATGTGACCAAACTGTTAATGTTGTTAGACTGTTTTGTGGGAGACACTGGTTTCATAGTAAGTAAAGTTAATCTTGTAAATAGAAAATAAGTGTCCATTCAACCCTGTAAAAAAAGACAAGAGTTTTGTATTGGCCTCTAGAGTTTATTATTAGGACATTTTTCATTGACCAAAACAAAGCTCAAGTGATGTCCCAGGAGAACATCTTCCAAGATATTGACTTTTGATATTGACTGATATTGACTGTTCTCAGCTTTAGTCAATGTAAGATTCAAAAAAACAATTAATCAATGACTGAATTAGTTATTTTAATAAGCCCTAATGCAGTAAGTAAAGTACGATAATTAGTAGTAGTACCAAATTAAAATTTGTTATTTAAGTTGTAGAATCATCATAAGTAACACTATAGTCATAAATAATCAGCAATAGGCTTTATAATGTTTGCGGGGAAAAAAATCATGATATTCTTTTTGATTTTGAGATGGAGGGGACTGACAAAACCTGCAAGTTTACATGAGAGAGAATATAAGATACTTGCATTACTACAGCAGTAGAAATACAAAGACAAAGACTCAGGTTGGATCTACCCTGCCCAAAGCATAATTTGTATCACAGTTTGAGAATCTGTAGTCCTCAGCAGCCGCTCTGTTAGCATAACTGTATTGGACGAACGTCTTTGGTCTGTTTTCCCCATAGACAGTCTATTCTACAGAAGAGCCACTGCAGAGGGGAGGACTGTGTGAGAATAGAGATGCTGAGAAGAATCAGAGGCATTTACAACAGGTCCCAGCAGGCGCATGCGAGGCAGAAATTCGGACCAGAGCAGAATTAATTTAAATCTCATCACGAAGCTCCTCTTGCGTGCTGCAAAATGGTGCACCGTGTGATATGTTCTGCATTCTGAACTGAAGCAGGAGCATAGACCTATGAACCATGTTCCAGTATGTAATTAGTATTTCTATACATTTTCAAAGCTTAAATGCCTGTGAATGAAAAAGGTTTCATTCACAGGCAAGAGCTTTTCAGGTGTGACCCTGAAGCGAGTTAAAAAGAACAAGCCGTGCCATTTATAGATATTCTAGAGATGGAACAAGATAATCCCACAAGAAAATATTGAATCAAAATTGTCTATTCCAAACATGGACAAACCTTTTAACCATTGGTGTGTCCAAATTTGGAGAAGTTTTCTCTCATAAATACTTATATGAATTGAAAAAAAAAAAAGGAAAATTAATTGAATCATATTCAATTAATTTGAATATGACAATGCAAGTTGTGCATCGAAAATAGTCCTTTATCGATACTTGGATTTGAAGGTATTAAAGTATTTTTGTTTGTACCAATAACAATGGAATGAGTATGGAATGAGTCTACCTCACTGTCACAGGGGCTTCAAAGCCTGTCCAGCAAACCAGCCTTTAACAACTTAAATTACGTATGTTAATGTTTTTTGTTGTAAATTAAAAGGGAATTCCATATGGATATTCCGACTATTCTTCAGAATTAAGTGCATTTATAGTTGGGTGACATTTTATTGGTAAAGGCCAAGGGGCCACAGCACCCCAGACTTTGGAAACCGCTGAAATATTTACAATATGAGCATTTTGAGTGGAAATGCCTGAATTGTTTTTTTCTCATTGGAGATATTTTTGGCAATAAAAAACTTAGGAATCAAATCCATTGGGATTTGACAAGGCCATAATTCATGAAACAATTGAATGAGATCACTTTGCCGTTCTTTGCAGCCCTCAAGTCAATCCGCCAAATATACAGTTACTGCAGTAAAACTGTGCAACTCACAGACACAGATATTTGCATCAACATTTTAAATCCTCTTGATTCAAACTCTTTAAGCTACAGAAGCCCGATTTAACAAGCTGCCACTGCACCACATAAGAGTAATACAGGCTGTGGCAGCTTTGACCTTGTTTGAACCAAAACAATGTCGAGAGACGCTGTGGCCTATATACGCT